GACAAAGCTTCAAGCCAGCAGCAGCACACAGGAGATGTCATGAGAGGATTAATGCAGGGTGACCGAAGCAGAAGGTTCCTCCTGGGAGAGTCAATACCGATTGCATGACCCTCCGATGGGCGAACGTCCGTTCAAGGCAGGTCTATTTGGTATGCGCATTTCTTGAATCGATTGGAGCAGTCAGAGTCTAACATTCAGCCAGCCCATTCTTGCCTGTACTCCTGCGCTGATCCCGCTCTATCTATGACCCAGCAAGGCTGTTTGCTGCAGGGCCAATCGGCAGACGCCACGGTGTACATTGCTGATGCCACCAGTACATGCCACTGTCCCAGGATTCAAACTGCAACCATGATGTAAATGGGAGTTTCCGAAAATAGGGGCCCCCCAATATAGCACCCTAAATAGTAGGATCCTTATTGCAAGGACCCCAAAATAGGGTACCCCTAATTTTCGGAAACTCCCAAATCAGATTCTCAGATCTCACTTCTGCCGCTGTTGCCCACATCTCAAGGCACCGACCTAGGCTCCCGGGGTCTGAGCAGACCCGATGCATCTTCCTTGAGCCAGGATGGTCCCCACTCCGAGCCTTCGGGAGAGCCTGACAGATCCGAACCCATCTCTGAGACTTCGCGCTTTGGATCGCTTGAGGGATGAGGGGCTCTTCCAGGAGTTCCGGGAGAGGGTGATTTCTCTGATCGACGATCCCAGCTGCGAGGTGAGCTCGAAGGCCTTAGCTCTCCTACGGGAGAAGATGACGAGCGCCGATCCCTTCAAGAGCGAAACACTCAGGGTTCTTTTCAAAAAGAAGGTCTCCAAAGACGTTCTTGAACAAAATTTCCAGAAGATCGTGCCGTCACTTCTGGCTGATCCGCGCCTGCAGCTCTGGTCCTTTGAGTTTCTGAAGTCGAGAACTTCGGTAACCCAGCTCATAGCAAACCTTCACGTTATCGTGGCACACTTTGAGAATCATGACTGGTTGGTGAAAAGGCGGACGTTGGAGTTTATTCTGGAACAGCTTCCTGGCGAGTTGGACGCAGGTCATGTCCACCACATGGTCGCACTCCTGGCAAACAGCGATTGGAGGGTGAGAAAGTTGACCATCGACCTACTGGAGCGGAGGGCGCCGAGCTCGCTGATCGCTGAGCATTGGGAGATTTTGTTCGCACTTGTCGCGGATCCAACGTGTGAGGTGCAAGAGCAAACACTAAATCTCTTGGAGGAGAAGATGCCGAGTGAGCTAATCGCTGAGCAGTTCACGGAATTCCACAGACACCTGCGGAACGCAGATCCAAGGATCAGGAAAGCCAGCCGACAGTTCTTCCGGAAGAAGATCTCCGCCGACATTCTAGCCCGGCACTTCCCGAAAATCGTGCCAGCGCTGCTCGCCGACTCGGAGCTTCAGGCCTGGTCCTTCGCCTTCCTATCGGGTCGGATCTCCTCGGAGCACCTCCCGGATCTCATCGACTGGATCGTCGTGCTCCTGGCCAGTCAAGAGCACTCCTGGAATAGGCAGAGAGCGGCCCTGGAGTTCATGAAAGAGCAGCTGCCCAGCGGTGTGCTGAGTGCGAAGCATTTCAAGAAGATCGTAGCGCTCCTGGGGAATTCGGCGTGCAAGGTGAAGAAATGGACTCTGGATCTGCTGCAGGGGCGGATGCCCCACAGGTTGCTAGCTGTGCTGCTCGCTGAGCATGGGGAGAAGATCTGGCCACTGTCGGAGCACGAGGACCCATCGGTGCAGGCTGCAGCTTCGAGACTCGTCTTACAGAATGGCTGCAGTCTTTCGAAGGAACTGGTCATGCAGCACTCCCAGAAGTTTGCCGCACTTCTTTACAAGAGGGGTGACCTGAGTAGATTCGAACAGATTTTTCCGCATCTGAAGAAGAGACGGCCACAGCACCCCTTGGCTGAGCTCTTGTTGAAGCTGCCGGTCTCTCGCATCCTCGCTGTAGTTCTGAAGAGCGAGGACGTTGCCGGCTGGAGAGACAAAGACGGCAACACCTGGCTGCATGTGGCCGCCGAAGCCGGGCACCTGGAAGCCTGTGAGGCATTGGTGGACGTGTGCGGGGTTGCGGTGCGGGCACAGAACAAAGCCGGCGACGAGCCGCTTGCTCTTGCGGCGAGTCGCGAAGTCGATCGGTTCCTGAGGAGCAGGATGGGCTTTCGTGAGACGCGGTTCGGCTACGGGAATGCTTTCGACGAGTCGCAGACAGACCGGAGGCAAGTAGGCGAGGTGACCTGGTACACGGTGCCTCTCCGGGGCATGGCCGGTCATTGTGGAGGCCTGCACTCCTTCCTCGTCGTCACTGTGTCCGCCGACACCTCCGGAGCGAAAACTTATGTGCTCGAGAAGGCCGGCTCCCAGGCTAATCAGGCCCATCAGAGGAACGGCATCTTTGTGGGAAGCCAAGATCTGAGCAGCAACTTGAAGAGTGTGGAGGGTTTGAAGATGTACAAGACACAGCTTTCCCTTAGTGACGACAGCCTGCGGCGAGGGCTCAAGATGAAGGAGCTTTACGAGAAAGCTTGCGGCACGGGCCCGTACCATCTTGCAACATCGAACTGCCATCACGCTGCCCAAAGCGTCTACAACCACTGCTGCGCCACAGAGCAAGATCAGGAGGCCCGTCCCCCCAACGAGTGGTTGGCGAAGCTCGGGTCCGCAATTCAGCTGGCTGCCTTGTTTGACTCCAGCCGCTCAAGTTCAGAATCCTCGGGTTCCGATGTTGCTTCCTCGAATTCAGAGCTGGCCTCCGGCAGCCAGCTTGCAGATTCTCCAAGTGGCTTCTCAGTACCCCTTGATCTAGCGTCCGACGCTTTCGCCGAGATGGCTGCGGCCCTGTGCCATGCCGTATACGATGATGATGCTGCGAGGGTGCTATCGCCATCACAGGAAGCTGTCGTGTCGATCCGCAATCAGTTGGCTAGACCCGTGCTCGTCTACGACCACAACAGCAAGAACAGCCACAGAGTGGAGGCTGACGAGGTACTGAATATCATTGCAGGATGTGGCACCGAGAAAATTCTTGTGGATGTTTATGCTGTGGCATGGGTTCCGGGGCTCTATCCCCATCGACGTCTGGCCCAGAGGAAATCTGTGTGGAGTGGTCATGCCTATAGCATGTTCACAGATTTTCGAAGTGATGTCATGCTACAGGAGGTGGCGGCAGTTGGACCTCGACAGCCGGTAGAGGTGCTGTATGCAACAAAGAAGAGCCGTAGCGCGAGTCCGGTGCAGTGGCTCCTGGCAAGATCGTGCTCCGTGCTTTATGCGGCTTTCCGAGGTACGGATGATGTGCAGGATGCTGCGATTGACCTCTGCGCGGTGCCAGACTGTTCTAGATTCAGAGAGCATGGTATGGGTGTGCACAGCGGGATCGCCCACGCCCTCGAGCAGGAGGGAGATGAAATCAATCATGTCGTGCGTGATGTTCTGGGAGCTTTGGAAGAGCATCGTCAACCCGAAGAGCGGCTGGTCCTCTGTGGACACTCGCTCGGAGGAGGCTATGCCCAAGTGATGGCCGTCCACTTGTTGACGCGGAAGGTTGAAGTTTCGGCTATCCGCACCTTCGGTGCTCCGCATGTCCTCGTACCGCAGCATGAATGTCCGAGGTTCTGGCGGAATCTGCACTCGATCACGCAGCATTGGGTGCACGACTGGGACCCTGTTCCCAGGCTGCCCCTCTGCAAAACCTGGCTGGTCGATGTCCTGCCGAAGCTCAAGCAGGAAGTTGTCACAGGAGTCAGACTTGGAATTGCCGAAAGGTGCGTCGAGCGACTTCGGCAGAATTACGACAGAACGAAGGCACGCATGCTGGAGAAGTACGATGTCGTGGGCAAGGTCGTGTTGGTGAGCCTGGGATCTGACTTGGCGTTTGGTGCAACCCAGGATGTGGCATCACTAAAAGGACTGCTTGGTGAGAAGCCTCCTGGGTCGATCATGACATTTAGCAGGCTCTTTGCCTATCACAGCATGGGGGACTACTTGAAGATTGCTCGGAAGCTGACTTCCGCATGAGCAAGGCCAGCGCAAAGACGCTTCATCACGCTGGTCCAGGTCCTCTGTCTCAAAAGCGCTCGTAACAGGAACCAACAAGATACAAACGCAGCCCTGCTGCAGCCCTTACAAGGGACAAAGGATGGTCACAGAATGCTTGGAGGGTGTGACTCTTGCCTCAAGTTTCTGCTCATTTAGAGGCTCGTCTTCGGGGTGAGATGTAGTTCAGTGGTGCTTTAGAATAGCTACAGGACTGCGCGAACCTTGAGCACTTCGTATCCCCGGAAAGCCTGTGCTTTGCTTTCCCAAACCTGTTACACAACCCGGCATCTGGAATGTTCTCCCCTCCTCTGGGGTACATGCAACACTGAAGGAGGCACGAGTCCCTCAAGCTCCGGCATCAGACCTCCAATGCCCCAACTTGGAACTCATGTGCCCTGCAGGCTTTCACCTCGTCGGCTCAGGAGCAGCTGGCTGAGGCCGGTAATGTGTAACTTACGGAGTTGATGCCCTGACTCAGAGCACTGACAAGCCTCGGCGCAGGAATCGGGGCTTTACATCGCTTGCATCCTTTCTGCAGTTGTCCCATGTTGTCTGCATGATGTGGTAGTGACGGTACTGGCTCTGCTTTGAACCTCTAATCATTCACCCAGTAGCTCCTAGGCCCAAGGACAGGATTACCATGGCGGAGCTGAGGCTCTCAGGCCCGACCCCTTCCTCGTTCGTTACGCAGCATGGTGCCTTCCGACCTCTGCCAGCGTACCGGCCATGTAAGTGCGACACAGGCCATATACCTGTTGCAGTCGTGTGTTTGGGCACTTACACCCCATTTCTGTTGAGAAGATGCCGGCAGAAATCCAAGCTCCATAGGAAGAGTTCTCAATCGGGGGCCAATCATCTGTATTGGGATGCCTTCGTGGATGCCGCGAAAGACATGCTGATTTCAGCAACAGCAGTGACTGCAACAGCAGTGTGTGTTGGAGGAACGCTTGAGCAGGCTGCTACCATGGGTGCTCTGGGTGCTGTGGCTTCGGCTGTGTCGTACAGCCACCGGCTACCTGAGGACATACAATTGAGGGCTCTGTCCCAACTTATGTTTGACGATGTGCAGCTCAACGGGGCAATCCTTCACGACATCTTCGAAAAGCGCTCAGATAAACTCAACGTGAGTCTTGAGCAGCTGTGCCGGCTTGGCAAGAGCGCCAGGTGCAAGACATTTCCGACACTATTGAAGGATTCGGACTACGGGAGACTAGCTAGAAAATCATTCGAGCAGAAGGTCTCGGCCGAGCTCCTGGACGAGTACTTCGAGGAACTGGTGCCACCGCTCGTGGCCGACCCCGAGCTGCAGAATTGGTCTTTTCAGGTGCTTGATGGGAAGATCTCGGCAAGGAGGCTTCCTAAGGTCATCAGCCTGATCTTGGATCTCGTACGCGGAGCAGATAAGCAGACGAAGATCCAGAGGCCGGCATTGTATTTCTTGAAGCAGCAGCTGCCGGAGTCTTTGAGTGAGGAGCAAGCTCAGGAGATCGTGACTCTCCTTGCGCATTCCAACGCGGACGTGAAGGAGTGGACGTTGCGTCTTCTGCGTAAGCAGGTGCCAGGTGAGCTGCATCTTCAGCATTGGGACAAGATCTTGCCGCTGTTCAGTGACGAGACCTCCTTCGCGCAGGTTGCAGCACTAGATACAGTTTTAGCCGCAGCTGCACAGCTCTCGAGCGAGCGGCTATCTCAACACTCCGAGCGGTTTGTCGCGCTCCTCCTGCACGCACTGCATGGGTTCCCTGGTACTACTGACGATGGACAGTGGATCATGAGGAAATCTCAAGCATTGACGCTGCTGTGTGAGCTGCCAGCGGCTAGCCTAACCCGGCACAGGGAGCAAATGGCAAGTTGCCGAAGCAGAGAAGGCAACAGCTGGCTCCACCTTGCGTCTGCAGAAGGCCATCTGGCGGCATGCGAGGCCTTGGTTGACATCGCGGGCCTTCCCCTGAGCGTGAGGAATGAAGCAGGAAAAAAACCACTCGAGCTTGCGAAGACGGACAAGGTGGATCGATTTTTGACGCAGAGGATTCGCAGTCAGCAAGGCCGTTTTGGCCGTGGGAATGCTTTCGATGAGATGGAGCAGGATGAGCGGCCGGTGTCAGAGATCGTGTGGCGCCTGGTGACTCTCCCTGAGGGAGGCTTTCACTCCTTTCTGGTCGTGACGGTCTCCGAGAAAGGAGCTGCCAAGAGATACGTGCTGGAGAAGGCTGAGTCTATCCCGGTCATAGAGTCTATTGCCGGGGATGCGCATCAGAAACACGGCATTTTGATTGGCTGCGAGCCTTTGGGCAACAAGTCGCCGCATGTGATGGATTCCGATGTACTCAGCAAACACCTTAGTCTCTCCAGTGGCAGTTTAAAAGCAGGGCTCAAGATGAAGGACTTGTTCCAGCAAGTTCACTTCTCCGAGTCTGCATCTTCGATCTGCCATTGTGTTGCCCAGAAGGTCTTCAATTACTGCTGCTTGAGACCGGAAGACTCGCAGACCTGTCCTCCGAGTCAGCTTTTGGTGGACCTGCCGGACTGCGATCAGCTGGATGATTTGCTGGTGCACTGGCCACTCTCGAGCGATAAAGCGTTTGCTGAGTCTATAGCTGAGGCGGTCTGGAACCTGGGTTTTCGACGGAAGGATCTAGCTTTGAAGCTGCTGTCCATGCTGCCGGCCGGTTGCTCCACACCGTCTGGGGAGCGCATCGCCCGTTACGACGAGAACGGCAACACCTGGCTGCACGTGGCAGCCCAAGAAGGCCATTTGGAGGCTTGCGAAGCTCTGGTAGATGTTGCGCGCCTCCCTTTGCGTGTCCAGAACGATGTGGGTGAATCGCCACTCACCGTTTCGGCCAGCCGCCAAGTGGATCAGTTCCTGAGAAACAGGATGGACTGCGAGGGAGCCCGGTTTGGCCACGGGAACGCTTTCGATGAGATGGAGCAGGATGAGCGGCAGGTGGTCGAGGTGGAATGGCACACGTTGCCTCTCCCCGGCCAAGCTGGCTACCTGGGAGGTCGTCACTCCTTCTTGGTCGTGGCTGTCTGCGAGCAGAGTAGAGTGGTGAAAAAATATGTGCTTGAGAAAGCTTGGTCTGCTGCCAAGGAGGCCCATCAGAAGAATGGTGTTTTTATTGGCAGCCCCAATCTGGGCACCAACTTGGTGCGTGTGGCTGGCGATGAAAGGTACTGCAACATCTTGAGCCTTTCAGGTGGCAACCTGAGAACAGGGTTGAAGATGAAGGACTTGTACGAGCAAGCTCGCAACTCAGGGCCATATGATCTTGCAGAATCGAATTGCCATCATGCGGTCCAGATCGTCTTCAATTACTGCTGTGCCAGGGAAGAAGACCGGCAGGCACGAACCCCCAACGAAGTCGAAGCGTTCGTCGCTGGCAATTTGCCGTTTGACGTGCTAAATTCAGGAAGCATTGGCTCCGAAGCTTCAGGTTCAGGAGTTTCTTCAGCGAAGTCTGAAGTTGCTTCGCCAACTCCGGATTCTGGACATGCACCCCGTGGGTTCACAAAGCCTTTCGACGTCTCCTCCGACCAATTTGCGCCAGTTGCGGCTATCCTGAGCCATGCCGTGTACGAAGAAAATCCTGAGTGCATGCTGAATCCAAAAGAGGTCGTTGCCGGCGCCATGATCGACAACTGGTTGAAGCAACCGGTGCACCTACGATACTCTGACTCTGGCAACACTATCAGCCAAGTGGAACCTGGACGCAAATGCACGGTTGAGCATGAAGGCAATAAGATCGTCATGGACGTCGATTGCACTTCTTCTCCATGGTTCAGTAAAAGGCTGGCCGGGAAGCAACCCATCTGGATGGGTTGCGACTATGTGATAACCACGGATTTCCGAACTGAGGTCATAGTGAAGGAGGTGGCAATGCCAAACGTCGATGTACTCGTCTCTGCGCCCGACGCGAGCCCTGTACATTGGCTCCTTGCTAGGTCGGGCAAGGCGATTTACCTGTGCTTCCGTGGTACGGCTAATGTGCAGGATGCTCTCATTGACCTGGCTGCAGTGCCCGACTATTTCAGATTCGCAGAGCATGGCAGCGGTGTGCACGGTGGGATAGCGCATGCTCTGGAGCAGAGGGGGAAAAATGTAGTGAAAGATGTGCTCAAAGCTTTGCAGCAGCACCGTAAAGACGGAGAGCAGCTGGTCCTGTGCGGCCACTCGCTCGGCGGAGGCTATGCCCAGGTGATGGCCGTCCACTTGTTGAGTCGGAATGAGGAAGTCTCTGCTGTCTGCACCTTCGGCTCGCCGCATGTGTTCATTCCGCCGGAGAGGAAGGAGGAACAGAGGGGGAGGAAAGTTTGGAATGAGTTGTGTTCGGTTAGCCAGCATTGGGTGCTCGACTGGGATCCGATTCCACGGCTGCCCCTTTGCCAATCCTGGTTGGATGTGTTGCCACAGGTGAAAATCGACGTTGTCGAAGGCATCCGGATTGGCTTGGCCGAGATTCAAGCGAAGGTGCCCGTGTTGGAGGGGTTCGACGTCGCTGGCGAGGTCGTGATGGTGAACAAGGCGACCATCTCCGCCTATCTTGCACCCAAAGGAGCGCCACCTCAGAAAAAGCTTCTCAGTGAGAAGCCTCCTGAGTCATCGATGACCCTGAACAAACTGAACGCCTGCCATGACATGAAAGAATACTCACTGATCGCTCGGATGTTGACGACCCCAGAAGCGAGGCCTGCAAAGTGAGATTAGTGTTCCATACATATGTGGTCGTATCGTGACAGTCGGAGGTGTCCTCCGTCTGAGCACTGACTTCGTTCCCAGCTCAGCCCGTCTCAGCCCGAAAATCTGCAATAGCTGCGGGGAAGGAAGCCGATGCATGTGCTTTGATGGTTTGACTCGAGGCGTCACTGAAGCATGGGAGCTCACGTGGGTTCATCTCTGGGTGCATACTCCTTCCCTCAACCCTCCTCACCCAGCAATACACAAACTATCCTGAACTAACCTAAACGGTACTAAAGCCCTAAACTCGTTCTCGCCAGGCGGAGCGCTTCGTGAGATCTTCTCCGGCTCCTGCAGCCGGGCCCGTCTTCGGCAAGGCGCAGGATCCCAAGTCCCTGGCACAATTATGTAACTGTACAACAGTATGTGCCACAGTATGTGGAAATTGTAAGCTTATGACGACAACTTACGTAAAACCGCGGTAACGGAGGTGAGACATCGTACGGGTTTTCGGCGCCATGAAGATGCGGAAAATCCGGCGGCTGTGTTGAATTGAACTTGGTTCCAGATTCAAAGCAGGAGTTGGCACCTCGGGTGCGCATTGCTCAGCATGCTTTACCACAGCATTCTTCTTCTCATTCTGGTCCATTGAGGCCACATAAAGCACTCAGTCAATTCACTCGAACCTGCAACCTCAGGCCTTGAGCCCGGAGCGCTCGCAAGAGGCCCACTGGATGTGCATCAGGAGTTAGGAGCCATTAGCTTGTGATGTTTACGGACGCTTCACCTGTTTCCACCCAGTGCAAACACGTCTGCATGCAGAGGCTCAAAGTTTGCTTGTTGTAACCTGACAGCGGGTCGCTTATGCATAGCGCAAACACAGTGGATGCGAGTGTCAGCGCTGGTCTTGGCTGGGGCTTCAGATTGAGGAGGCCCATCTTATTGTCAACGATTACCATCTTGATTCTCCAGGTTGCTGCCGCAAGCAAAACGAGTCGGATCATGGCATCCGTGTCCAAACAAGACTGGAAGGTGAAAAGGTGGATCCTTGAGCTCACTACAACGCTCAGGAAGTTGTGGTGGACGGCCGCGGTGGCACGCTTGGCCGACGAGGATTGGCAGGTGAGGTTCCGGACGGTGGTGCTGCAGTTCGACAATCTCCTTGCAGACTCAAGGAGTAACAGCTCTGCCCGATTTAGGAACACCTGCCGGCGTCTCTTCGAGAACAAGATTTCGACGGAGTTGCTCACAGAGCACTTCAAAACAATTGTTCCACCACTTCTGGCTGATCCGCAGTTGCAGGAGTGGTCCTTTGGCTTTCTGAGATCTAAAGTAACAGCAGAACAGCTCATGGGAAACCTTGATCTGATCATGGCGCAGTTAGCCGATCAAGGCTGGGCGGTGAAGGAGAGGACCCTCGAGTTCATTAAGGAGCAGCTGACCGGTGAGTTGGACGTGGGGCATTTCGACCACTTTGCGGCACTCTTGGCAAACAGCGACTACGAGGTCCAACGCTGGACACTGGATTTTCTGAGCCTCAAGCTACCCAGTAGACGAGCAGGCACCACACAGTTCGCAAAGCACCTGCACAAGGTTCTTGCACTTCTCGCCAGCCCAAGCCCGGCTGTGCAAGAGCGAGCGCTGAATCTACTGGACCAGAAGATGCCGGACAACTTGGTCGGTAAGTACTTCAGCAAAATTCATGCGCTCTTGCACCGTGCAGATCCAGTCAGGATGTCATGCCAGCAACTCTTACAGAAGAAGATCTCAGAAGAGGTCCTCACCGAGCACTTCCAAACGATCGTGCCACCACTTCTGCGGGACACGAAGCTGCAGCCGTGGTCGTTTGAGTTTCTGACGGGTCGGATATCGCAGAGGCACAGCTCCGAGCTCATTGAGGTGATCATCGACATCCTCCCACAACTGGAAGATTGGGGGAGGAGAGAGATGGCCTTCGCCTTCATGACGGAGCAGCTTCCCAGCGAGTTGGATGCAGAGCACGTCAACCGCGTCGTGGCACTCTTGAGAAGCAATGATCCCGGTGTGAGCTGCTGGACTCTGCACTTTTTGTGCGAGCGAGCAGGTGCCACGCAGTTGGCAAAGCATTGGGACAAGGTTCTTGAGCTTCTCGCCAGCCCAAACCCGGCTGTGCAAGAGCGAGCGCTGAATCTACTGGACCAGAAGATGCCGGACAACTTGGTCGGTAAGTACTTCAGCAAATTTCATGCGCTCTTGCACCGTGCAGATCCAGTCAGGATGTCATGCCAGCAACTCTTACAGAAGAAGATCTCAGAAGAGGTCCTCACCGAGCACTTCCAAACGATCGTGCCACCACTTCTGAGGGACACGAAGCTGCAGCCGTGGTCGTTTGAGTTTCTGAAGGGTCGGACATCGCAGAGGCACAGCGACGAGCTCATTGAGGTGATCATCGACATCCTCCCACAACTGGAAGATTGGGGGAGGAAAAAGATGGCCCTCGCCTTCATGATGGAGCAGTTTCCCAGCGAGTTGGATGCAGAGCACGTCAACCGCGTCGTGGCACTCTTGAGAAGCAATGATCCCGGTGTGAGCTGCTGGACTCTGCACTTTTTGTGCGAGCAAGCAGGTGCCTCGCAGTTGGCAAAGCATTGGGACGAGGTTCTTGCACTTCTCGCCAGCCCAAACCCGGCTGTGCAAGAGCGAGCGCTGAATCTACTGGACCAGAAGATGCCGGACAACTTGGTCGGTAAGTACTTCAGCAAATTTCATGCGCTCTTGCACCGTGCAGATCCAGTCAGGATGTCATGCCAGCAACTCTTACGGAAGAAGATCTCAGAAGAGGTCCTCACCGAGCACTTCCAAACGATCGTGCCACCACTTCTGAGGGACACGAAGCTGCAGCCGTGGTCGTTTGAGTTTCTGAAGGGTCGGATATCGCAGAGGCACAGCTCCGAGCTCATTGAGGTGATCATCGACATCCTCCCACAACTGGAAGATTGGGGGAGGAGAGAGATGGCCTTCGCCTTCATGACGGAGCAGCTTCCCAGCGAGTTGGATGCAGAGCACGTCAACCGCGTCGTGGCACTCTTGAGAAGCAATGATCCCGGTGTGAGCTGCTGGACTCTGCACTTTTTGTGCGAGCAAGCAGGTGCCTCGCAGTTGGCAAAGCATTGGGACGAGGTTCTTGCACTTCTCGCCAGCCCAAACCCGGCTGTGCAAGGGCGAGCGCTGAATCTACTGGACCAGAAGATGTCGGACAACTTGGTCGGTAAGTACTTCAGCAAATTTCATGCGCTCTTGCACCGTGCAGATCCAGTCAGGATGTCATGCCAGCAACTCTTACGGAAGAAGATCTCAGAAGAGGTCCTCACCGAGCACTTCCAAACGATCGTGCCACCACTTCTGAGGGACACGAAGCTGCAGCCGTGGTCGTTGAAGTTTCTGAGAGATCGTCTGGCTACGGAGAAGTCGCAGGAATTGGCGGCGCTACTTCGCACAGCCGGCCACCTGGCGGATTTTGAAGCGATCTTCGTGGCTCTCCTGAAGAATAGACCCCCCCGGGCGAAGTGTCGATGCTCCTGTGCAAGCTACCGGTCTCTTGCTTGCTCATGGAGATGCCAAGGGGGAGTATTTTCAGCTGGCGAGACGCGGACGGCAACACCTGGCTGCACGTGGCCGCCAAAGCAGGGCACCTAAAGGCCTGCATGGCCTTGGTGGACAAGGTTGGCATGGCCTTGCGCGAGAAGAACGGAGCCGGATACGAGCCACTGGCCCTCGCGACGTCCCGCGAAGTGGATCGGTTCCTGCGGAGCAGGATGGGCTTCCGGGAGACCCGGTTCGGCCACGGGAATGCCTTCGAGGAGATGATGCGGGATGACAGGCCGGTGTCCGAGGTGACCTGGTACACGGTGCCTCTCCCGGGCAAGGTTGGTTGGCTGCTGAGAGGCCTTCACTCTTTCCTGGTCGTCACTGTCTCCGACACGGATCAGGCAGCGAAGACTTACGTGCTCGAGAAGGCCGAGTCTTTAGGCAGGGAAGCCCATCAGAAGCACGGCATCTTCATCGGCAGCCAAGATTTGAGCAGCAACTTGAGGAGTGTAGTTGGCCTCAAAACGCACAAGATGCAGCTTACGCTCAGTGAGGGAAGCCTGCGGAGCGGGCTTAAGATGAAGGAGCTCCATGAGGTGGCTCACGGCACCGGCCCGTATGATCTTGCAACTTCGAATTGCCATCACGCTGCCCAGACAGCTTTCAACCACTGCTGTGCCAGGCAGGAAGACAAGGAGGTGCAGCCGCCAAACGAGTTGTTGGCAAAGTTGGGGGCGGCATTTCAGCTGGGTGGTCTGTTCCACTCAGCCCGCTCCAGCTCAGAAGGCTCCAATTCAAACGTTGATTCGGTCAATTCTGAAGTGGCCTCCGGCAGCGAGGTTGCGAATTCCCCGAGTGGCTTTACACGGTTCGTTGACCTCCGATCCGACGCCTTCGCAGAAGTTGCTGCTGCCCTAAGCCTGGCAGTGTACGAGGAGGATCCTGCCACCGTCTTGAGGCCAACGGAGGCAGGTGTTGCGTCCATCCGCAACAATTTGGGCAGACCCGTGCTCCTGAATGCCAACGCCACGCGAACCAGAGTGGACGCTGCGGAGAGAACATGTGTTCAAACCGCTGGTGCCGACAAAATTCTCGTGGATGTTTATGGTGTGGCATGGATTCCGGGGCACTATCCCTGGCGACGTTTGGCCCAGACTCAACCGGTCTGGCGCGGGCATGCCTATGATTTGTCCACAGACTTTCGAGGTGATGTTGTGCTGCAGGAGGTGGTGTCATTTGCACCGAAGCAGACAGTAGATGTGCTTCACATGACTCAGAAGAGCGGTGGCAACAGTCCGGTTCAATGGCTCCTTGCCAAATCAGGCTCAATCCTTTATGCTGCCTTCCGGGGGACGGATGATGTGCAGGATGCCGCGATTGACCTCAGTGCCGTGCCAGACTTTCGCAGATTCAAAGAGCTCGGCATCGGCGTGCACAGTGGGATAGCCCATGCCCTCGAGCAGGAGGGAGATGGAATCTGTCATGTGGTGAACGATGTTCTGCAGGCTTTGCAGGAGCATCGTCAACCTGGAGAGCAGCTGGTCCTTTGCGGTCACTCCCTCGGTGGAGCCTATGCCCAAGTCATGGCGGTCCACTTGTTGAGTCAGAACGTGGAGGTCGCGGCCCTCCGAACTTTCGGCGCGCCGCACGTGCTGGTGCCTCCGAAACCTGAGGAATCCGCAAGCTTGTGGCAGAAGTTGAATTCGATTACGCAGCATTGGGTTCACGACTGGGACCCGGTCCCCAGGCTGCCCCTCTGCAAGAACTGGCCGGTGGACGTCCTGCCGACGCTGAAGTATGAGGTCGTAGAAGGTGTCAGACTCGGATTTTCCCAGAAGTGTTTCAAGCAGTGGCAGGATAACTACCACAGCAGGGCAAAGCTCTTGGACAAGTACGACGTCGTGGGCGAGGTCGTGCTGGTGAGTAAGGCTAAGGCCACAGGTTTGGCCCTGGGTGCCAGCGAGGATGCTGTACCATCAAAAGAGCTGCTCAGCGAGAAACCTCCCGAGTCAGTTATGACTTTGAGCAGGCTCATTGCTTACCACAGCATGGCGGACTACTTCCACATTGCACGAATGCCAACGGCGGCCTCATAAGCTAGGCCTGGCCAGGATCGCCGAAGGAGGTTGGGGTGTCCTCCCTCTCAGAAACGTGGCAAATCAGCAGTGGACTCTTGGTGAAACGTCTGAGTTGAGGCATGTGTGCAGTTTTGGAGAGGAGCTGCTTCGGCTGTGTGGTCGCCAGGCTCACTTTGGGTGATCTTCCTCCTGCTGCTGCAGCGGGTCTACAGGCGCTCGGGCCCCATGTACGGTTCAAGTGAAGGAGAATTTTTTGGCCCTCGGAGGTTCGAACCTTTGATGAAGCTTCAGGGCCTTCAAGCCTTCAACAAGATTTCCAGCTGCTTTTGACATGGTGAACAACGTAGGAAACACTGAGCCGAAGTGCTTCCGTGGGCAGCTATTCCCGACCCATGGGCTCGGCCGGGTTGCGTGTGATAGCGCACTCTGCATTGTAACCGTGGTCCGCTGTAAAGCCCCGGCACCTGAGCCCGAACGCATCACTCGCATTTCGAAAGCCTCTTTCGGCGTGGTCATTCTATTGTTTCCTCAGCTGGCCACCTCCGAGGATAGGCTTGATCTCTAGGCCTCCATCAGCTTCATGTCCTTGCAAGCTCGACGGAGCATTTCAGAGAGAGGCTCGAAACCAAATATAGACACCGAAGAGATCCTACGCTCACTCGGTGCTTACGGGGTCTGTGAACTCAACCGAATTCCCACAAAGCCTGGCATCTCTAACATTGAAATCCAAGAGAAATTGGCAAAGCTAACAACTGCACAACTTGAAGCAATGCTGTCAACTTTGCGGGCCTCCTGTCTTCCTTCTTCTTGCCTTATCGAGCCTTGAACTTGTTCGGGCAGGCCGTAAGGCTGCACGGAACCCCGGAGACAGAGCAAGTGATTGTAGTACAGCGGCTTCTAAAGGGTTGAACAACTCTAATGTCAGATGTTGTGCGATTGGGGCTTTCAACAGCTCTGAAGCTCTTGGCTGCTTTTGGCAGGATGGCATCGCATCGACTGACATCACGCAGAGGCACGGGGCACGAAAAGAGCTTTGGATTCGCTTGCACTTGCCCGCCGGGTCCTCCGTGCATCACCATTCGAAAGCTCAGCTCATCATTCACATACGTGACTGCTTGCATGCTGCCCAAAAGCAAACTCTGGCCGACGACGGGCAGAGGTCTTATAGAGGTTCCTGCCTTGCAGACTTTCCGAATCGCCGAACTGCCGATTTGTCATGTTATGTCCCCGTCCGTCCATCCATCCATCCATCCATCCATCCACCCATACTTGCCCACATATATGTGCGTACGTACCTACATACATACGTACATACTCCGACAATCACTCACATGTACGTATATCTATATAGACATACATACATAAATACATGACAGTGAGTCTATATATGTGTATATGTGTATATAGATATGTATATCTATATATGTATGTATTGCAAGTATGTGTTTACAATAGTATAAACTGCTTACACATCCAGTTCACATGTGCCGTGATACTGCGCAATCATGTCCAGCGCTTCTTGCCACTTCAGGGAGACCACCCAGCTCGGCCCATGGCCCGGCTGATCCGGCGCCCTGATGGCCACAGGTGAAGTTTGATGGACAGGCCGGAGGGCTGGGCCCTTCTGTTGAAGTGGTGGCCGACCTTGGATTGCCTTTTCACACACAGAGCCGTGACATGCAAGGATCCAATTTGTAAAATGCTGCGACCGGCTCCTGCTTCCGGATTGGCAAGCATGTCCACGCTTGAACTTATGCATCATGCAGCATTACACAGCATCAGACCTCTCGATTCCCAGCGGCGATGGGCCGCGCCGTGGAGATTGGCCGACCCCAGGCCGCATGCGAGGCTCGAGAGCTTGGCGCGTCTCAAGGACGAGAGCGAACTGCTCCCGGAGCAGTGGGACAAGGTTGTTTCACTGATCGAAGATCCCAGACGAGACGTGAGTTCAAAGGCCATGACTCTGCTGCAGGAGAAGATGCCAAACGAGCTATTGCCGCTGCAGTTGAAGAAGTTCCTCCCGTGGCTACGAAGCACAGAAATGTGGAAGAACTGTTCAACCCGGCGTCTCTTCGAGAAGAAGCTGTCGGAGGAAGTCCTCACCAGGCGCTTCCAAAGCGTTGTGCCACCGTTTCTCACTGACCCTCATCTGCAAGTGTGGTCCTTTGGCTTCCTAAGATGCAAGTTTTCAGCAGATCACCTTGCTGCGAATATTGCTCCCATCCTAGCGTGTGTGTCAGACCAATGCCAAGATTGGAAAGTGAAGCAGCGGGCATTGGATTTCATGCAAGAGCAGCTGCCGAAAGAGCTGGAAGCAGGTCATGCCAATCACATGGTGGTAATCTTGTCGAACTGCGGTTGGGAGGCCAGGCGCTGGACCGTAAACCTCTTGAAAGAGCGCATGCCCAACGGTCTGTTCACTCAGCACTGGGAGAAAGTGCTTCAAATTCTTGTCGATCCGAAACGGGAAGTCCAACAGCAAGCGCGATGTCTCTTGGAGGAGCAGTTGCCAGTTGAGTTGATTGCTGATCACATGGAAAAGTTCCTTCCATGCCTAAAAAGTGAAGATCGGCGTATGAGCTCTTCAACCCGGCGTCTCTTCGAGAAAAAGATCTCGGAGGAAGTCATCGCGATGCATTTCCAGAGCATTGTTCCGCCGCTTCTGGCCGACCCAGTTCTGCAGTCGTGGTCTTCTGGCTTTTTGAAATCCAAGATTTCTGCAAACCACCTTGCTGCGAATATTGGCCCGATCGTTGCGCATGTGGCGAAGCAAGATTGGCGGGTGGAGCAGCAGGCCTTGGAGTTTATGCATGAGCAGCTGCCAAGAGAGTTAGGAGCAGATCATGTCAACCACATCGCATCAATCTTGTCGAACAGCGCTTGCGAGGTGAGGTGCTGGGCCGTGAATCTCTTGAAAGAGCGCATGCCCAACAGTCTGTTCACTCAGCACTGGGAGAAAGTGCTTCAACTGCTCGTCGATCCAAGTTGTGAGGTCCAACAGCAAGCACAAGACCTGTTGGAGGAGAAGTTGCCAGTTGAGTTGATAGCTGATCACATGGAAAAGTTCCTTCCATGCCTAAAAAGTGAAGATCGGCGTATGAGCTCTTCAACCCGGCGTCTCTTCGAGAAGAAGATCTCGGAGGAAGTCATCGCGACGCATTTCCAGAGCATTGTTCCGCCGCTTCTGTCCGACCCAGTTCTGCAGTCGTGGTCCTTTGGCTTTTTGCAATCCAAGATTTCTGCAAATCACCTTGCTGCGAATATTGGCCCTATCATTGTTTGCTTGGCAGATCAAAGTTGGAGGGTGAAGCAGCGTGCACTGGTTTTCATGCAGGAGCAACTACCAACTGAATTGACGGCAGATCATGTGAACCACTTTGTCGCAATTGTTAAACGCAATGCTTGGGAGGTTGGACGCTGGATTCTGGATCTCTTGAAGCAGCGCATGCCAAACAGTCTTTGGGAACACGTGCTTCCGTACCTCAGCGATCCAAGATGGGAGATCCAGCAGCAAGCACAAGACCTCCTGGAGGAGAAGTTGCCAATTGAGTTAATGGCCGATCAGATGGACAAGTTTGTCCCGTGGCTGACAAGTGCAGATCCGCGGCTGAGCTCTTCAATGCGACGTTTCTTCGAGAAGAAGCTCTCGGAGGAAGCTCTCGCCCAATATGTCCAGCAAATATTTCCGCCGCTTCTGACTGACCCAGTTCTGCAATCGTGGTCCTTTGGCTTTCTGAGAACCAAGATTCCAGCCAACCATCTCACTGCAAATGCTGCACTGATCATTGAGGGCGTGGCAGGCCAATGTAAAGACTGGAGAGTGAAGCAGCAGGCATTGCTTTTCATGCAGGAGCAGCTTCCAAGCAAGTTGGAGGCAGGTCATGTCAACCACATGGTTGCAATCTTGTCGAACAGTGCTTGGGAGGTCAGGCAATGGATTTTGGCTGTGTTCAGGGATCGCATGCCCAAGAGTCTGCTCGCTCAGCATTGGGAAAAAGTGCTTCAACTGCTCTTCGACCCGAAATACGAAGTCCAGCAGCAAGCCCGGAATCTCTTGGAGGATAAGTTGCCAGTTGAGTTGATAGCTGATCAGATGGAGAAGTTCCTTTCGTGCCTAAAAAGTGCAAATCCGAGTCTGAGCTCTTCAACTCGGCGTCTTTTCGAGAAGAAGATCTCGGAGGAAGTCATCGCGATGCATTTCCAGAGCATTGTTCCGCCGCTTCTGGCCGACCCAGTTCTGCAGTCGTGGTCCTTTGGCTTTTTGCAATCCAAGATTTCTGCAAATCACCTTGCTGCGAATATTGGCCCGATCATTGCGTGCATGGCAGATCAAAATCGGAGGGTGAAGCAGCGGGCACTGGTTTTCATGCAGGAGCAGCTTCCAAGCAAGTTGGAGGCAGGTCATGTCAACCACATGGTTGCAATCTTGTCGAACAGTGCTTGGGAAGTCAGGCAATGGATTTTGGCTGTGTTCAGGGATCGCATGCCCAAGAGTCTGCTCGCTCAGCATTGGGAAAAAGTGCTTCAACTGCTCTTCGACCCGAAATACGAAGTCCAGCAGCAAGCCCGGAATCTCTTGGAGGATAAGTTGCCAGTTGAGTTGATAGCTGATCAGATGGAGAAGTTCCTTTCGTGCCTAAAAAGTGCAAATCCGAGTCTGAGCTCTTCAACCCGGCGTCTTTTCGAGAAGAAGATCTCGGAGGAAGTCATCGCGATGCATTTCCAGAGCATTGTTCCGCCGCTTCTGGCCGACCCAGTTCTGCAGTCGTGGTCTTTTGGCTTTTTGCAATCCAAGATTTCTGCAAATCACCTTGCTGCGAATATTGGTCCGATCATTGTGTGCATGGCAGATCAAAATCGGAGGGTGAAGCAGCGGGCACTGGTTTTCATGCAGGAGCAGCTTCCAAGCAAGTTGGAGGCAGGTCATGTCAACCACATGGTTGCAATCTTGTCGAACAGTGCTTGGGAAGTCAGGCAATGGATTTTGGCTGTGTTCAGGGATCGCATGCCCAAGAGTCTGCTCGCTCAGCATTGGGAAAAAGTGCTTCAACTGCTCTTCGACCCGAAATGCGAAGTCCGGCAGCAAGCCCGGAATCTCTTGGCGGAGAAGATGCCAAGTGAGCAGATTGCTCAGCACATGGAAAGGTTCCTACCCTTATTGAAAAGCACAGATGAGTGGGTGAAGTCTGCCACCCAGCATTTCTTCGAGAAGAAGATCTCGGAAGAAGATCTCGCTCAGTACTTCCAGAAGGTGGTGCCGCCACTTCTCGCCGACTCGGAGCTGCGGTCGTGGTCGTTCGGTGTTCTTACCGGCAGAATTTCAGCGAAGGATCTTGCAGAGCTCATTGATTGGATTGCATTCTTGGCAATTGAGGAGCAGTCGTGGGAAAGACAGGAGTCGGCGTTGAAGTTCATGAGGGGGCAGTTGCCGGCAAAACTCAAAGCAGCGCATGTCGGGAAGATTGCAGCTCTCCTGGCGAGTTCGGAGTGCAGGGTGAAGACGTGGACTTTGGCTCTTCTGCATGAGAGGATGCCCAGCCAGCTGCTATCTGTGCTGATCTCTGAGCATGGTGAGATCCTGTGGCCGCTCTTTGAGATTGAAGACCCTACAGTGACGGCTGAAGCATCAACCTTTGTATTGCAACACGGCCTCGGTCTCGCAAGAGAACAGCTTGCGGAGCATTCCCGGCAGTTTGCGTCCCTGCTTCTCAAGACAGGCCACCTGGACAACTTCGAGCACATCTTCCCGGATCTTCTCAAGAGGATCTGCCCGCAGCACGAACTGGCTGAGCTCTTGCGCAACCTGCCAGTATCAAGCTTGTTCGTGGCCAGGAGCAGCGAGGACCTCGTCAGATGGCGAGATGGAAACGGCAACACCTGGCTGCACCTGGCAGCAGCAGCAGGGCACCTGGAGGCTTGCGAGGCTTTGGTGGACCAGGTTGGCCTCCCCTTGCGCGAGAAGAACGAAGCTGGCGACGAACCGCTGGCCCTCGCGGCGAATCGCCAAGTGGATCGGTTCCTGAGGAGCAGGATGCACTTCCGGGAGACCCGCTTCGGCTACGGGAATGCCTTCGAGGAGATGATGCAGGACGACAGGCCGGTGTCTGAGGTGACCTGGTACACGGTGCCTCTCCCTGGCATGGCCGGCAACTTGGGAGGCCTTCACTCCTTCCTCCTCGTCACTGTGGTTGACAAGGATCAGAGAGCGAAGAGCTACGTGCTGGAGAAGGCCGGGTCCCGTGGAAGGGAGGCGCATCAGAAGCATGGCATCTTCATCGGGAGCCAAGATCTGGGCAGCAATTTGAAGAGCGTCCATGGTCTACAGATGCACCAGCAACTTAAGCTCAGCAACGGAAGCCTGCAGACGGGGCATAAAATGAAAGGCCTTTATGAGGTGGCCCACAGCACGGGCCCGTATGATCTTGCAGCGTCGAACTGCCATCACGCTGCCCAGACAGCTTTCAACCACTGCTGTGCCAGAGAGGAAGACAAGGAGCTGCGGCCACCAAACGAGTTGTTGGCAAAGTTGGGGGCCGCATTTCAGCTGGGTGGTCTGTTCCACTCAGCCAGCTCTGGCCATTCAACGAGTTTCTGCTCAGAAGGCTCGGGTTCCGACGTTGCTTCGGCGAATTCGGAAGTGGCCTCCAGCAGCCACCCTGCTGGTTCCCCGAGCGGCTTTTCGCGGTCCGTTGATCTCCGCCCCGACGGCTTGGCTGAAGTTGCCGCTGCGCTGAGCCATGCTGTGTACGAGGAGGATGCTGCGGCAATCTTGAAGCCACTGGAGACTAAAGCGGTCTCCATCCGCAACAAGCTGGAGAGACCGGTGTATGTGTACAACCACAGCACCCAGGAAAGCCACAGAGTGGAAGCTGAAGCATTTCTCAATCTTGTGGGATGCAATGTCGAGAAAGTTTTCGTGGACATATATGCAGTTGCGTGGACTCCGGGGCTGAAGGCTCACCGGCGTCTGGCCCAAAAGCGATCCGTGTGGATGGGCCATGCCTACACTATGGCGACGGACTTCCGGGATGAGGTCGTGCTGCGGGAGGTGGTCTCGTCTAACGTGCTGTATACTACGAAGAAGAGCCGATGCACCAGTCCAGCGCAGTGGCTGCTGGCCAGATCGGGCTCCGCGATTTACGTTGCCTTCCAGGGGACAAGCGATCTGCAGGATGCTGCCATTGACCTAGCTGCTGTGCCGGACTACACAAGGTTCGAAGAGCATGGCATCGGCGTGCACAGTGGGATTGCCCACGCCTTGGAGCAGAGGGGCGATGGAGTTTGTCACGTGGTGACCGACGTTCTGCAGGCTTTGGAGCAGCACCGTCAACCTGGAGAGCGGCTCGTTCTCTGCGGCCATTCGCTCGGTGGAGGCTACGCGCAGGTGATGGCCGTCCACTTATTGAGTCGGAACGTGGAGGTCGCGGCCGTCCGAACTTTCGGCGCGCCCCACGTCCTGGTGCCTCCTCCTGACCAGGAAGATTCTGCAAGACTGTGGCAGAAATTGAGTTCGATTACCCAGCATTGGGTGCACGACTGGGACCCAGTTCCCAGGCTGCCCCTTTGTAAGGCTTGGCTCACGGACGTCCTGCCGAATCTGAAACTGGAGGTCGTCAGAGGAGTCAGAGTTGGGGTTGCCCAGAAGTATGTCGAGAAATTGAAACTCAACTACGATGAGACCCGTGCTCCCGTGTTGGAGTCGTACGATGTCGTGGGCGATTTGCTGCTGGTGAGCAAGGATACAACTTCGGCCCTCCGCGCGAGAGAGGGCGCAGCACCACTGAAAGAGTTGCTCAGCGAGAAGCCTCCTCAGGCGGTTATGACTTCCAGCAAGCTCCTTGCCTACCACAACATCGCGGACTACTTGCAGCTTGCTCGGATGCTGACGACCTCATAAGCTAAGGGTGTGCATGCTACACATTGCCACTGCAGTTGTAAAAACAGCAACGGAGTATGCGCATGCATGGTCGGAGTGCTTGAATATTCGACAGATCGAGTCAGCCTGCTCCGATTTGGCCAGGTGCCTTCTGTGATTTCCTCCGGCTGCTGCTGCTGCTGGCACGCCTTCCTGCAGGTGCTAGCGACGGCACCCAATGCGGACTGGCTAAAGGTTGCATGTTGTTGACTTCTTGGGGGTGAGCTTTGAGTGTCCTTGCCTGCGCAGGTCGAAGTTGAAGATTTCGGCTTGTAGTCCAGATTTCCACAAGAATCATGAGATCGTACTGTACTGAACTTATCACTCTAAACCGCAGTGAAATTCCACAAGTCCTTTGTCGCATGCCGTAGCCCACAACTGCTGAATGAAGTTCTGCCCCCACAGCCCGACGGGTGGTCCCCACGGAAAGATGTTCAAGCGAAGCCTCGAACGGCCCACTCTTCGGCTATCCGTGGTCACACGACGTATTTAGGCTTTATGTTTGGGCTTCGGTGATTGCACAGACGGTTCCTCGTATTGAATATTGACGGGAGTAAGGTTTGTCGTTTTGGTCATGGGGAGACTAGTGACTAGCACTACCAATTCGATTCGCGTTCCATGTCTCGAAGACATCTCTAGGACAGTCTGCACCGCAGGGTATGAGGTCTTTGCGGTTGGCTTGAGGTGTGGTGATTCCTCAGCATGCAGACCCGGAAGCAAGCTAGCCTTGAGGTGCAAGATGGCTGTCATGGTATGGGCTCGACTGTGTTTCAAGCTCGGGGAGGGCCTGCTCTGACTTTGGCTGCCTTCCTGTCAGGCATCGCGGGCGAATTTCCTCTGGCTACTGCAGCATCTTGCTCTCGGGGCAAGGCCACATTCCTCTGACTTCAGCGCAAGGTCTCGGGTAGACCCTCTGTTTAGCAGGCGACCTCTCGCAGTCTGTCCTACGTAGCAGGTTTGGGGAGTTTTCGGTTGGACGGGCACAGTTTCCGAGGGTCCCTTGTCGACGATGTCCGACTGTCCTACCATAAATCATAGACTCATACAAGTCGATTCCATGTGGCGTCAGTGGCAGGATGGCGGCAGACTGGAGCAGAGTTCGCGCAGATGCAGACACCTCGTGAGTGAGCTAGGTGCGGTGCCACCATGAAGGCATGTATTTTTGAGTTCTGCGTGGGTCGACCGCGAGTCCGTCCCGACCAGCGGTACATTAATTGGCATATCCAACTCACTTGTTGTTCACTCCTAAACTTGCAGCTCCCAGTTTCGGCTGTTAGACTCTAGAAAACTTAATGCCACACGCAGGGACTGTGGCAGACTCTGAGGCCTACATCTAGCCACCATGTCAGCAGTTCGGGCGTGCCAGTTGTCAGTATCGATCGGGCTCGCCACGCAGATGTGGCTCAAACTGTGCCGAGACAATGCTTGTGCCATGGGTGGTTGCAATGACCGGGCTTTTCTTCGGCTACTGCGGGTTTAAGGTCGTTAAGAGTTCCACAATCCCAGATCGGCTCATTGTGGCAGATCTTCTCCTGGCCATTTTAGCCAACCAAGCTGGGGGGGTTGGACTGAAGAGATGGATCTTGGCCTTCGTGCAGGAGCAGCTGCCCGGCGAATTGACCGCAGATCAAGTGAAGCGAATCGTGGCCCTCTCGGCAAAGAGGGGTCTCAGGGTTGAGCTGCGATGTTGGGCCCTTGTCCTCCTGCGCGAGCGACAATGCACGGCTTTGCTTGCGGAGCACTGGGCCCAGGTTCTGGCACTTCTCGCTCCTCCAGTCTGCGAAGTGCAGCAGCAAGCCTTATGTCTCTTAGATCAGAAGATGCCTGAGGAAGTGATCGCTGAGCTGTCCGGCAAGCATCGTGAAAAGGTTTTTGACTGTCTCCGCAGTCCAGACGGTTTGGTACAGCAGAGAGCCCTGGGGTTTTTTTGGAGAAGAAGATGCCGGACGAGCTGATCGCCGAGTTGTCCTCCGGGCGCTGTGCGACGCTACGAACACTCCTCCAGAGTCCAGGGTACGAGGTCCAACAGCAAGTTCTCAACCTTCTAGAGAAGCCGATGTCGCACAAACTGATTATCGAGCTATCCGGGCATCGTTGGGAGCCGGTTCTTGAACTGCTTGCCAGCCGAAGCTTCGAGGTGCGACAGTCAGCACTGGATCTTTTGAAGAAGAGGATGCCGAAAGAGCTGATCGCGGAGCAGTTCAGCAAATTTCATGTGGTTTTGCGCGATGCGGATTCAAGAATCAGTGCTTCAAGCCGTCGTATGTTGGAAGAGGAGATCTCGAACGAAGTCCTCGCCCAGCACTTCCAGACGATCGCACCATCGCTTCTGGCGGACTCCAAGCTGCAGCCGTGGTCTTTTGAGTTCCTGAGAGGGCGGATCTCCGAAAGGCACATTCCTGAACTCATCGATGTGATCATCAACATCCTTTCTCGCGTGGAAGCAGCTTGGAGCAGGAAGGGGACGGACCCCCTGTTGGGCTTCGCGGAGGAGCAGCTGCCCGGCGAATTGACCGCAGATCAAGTGAAGCGAATCGTGGCCCTCTCGGCAAAGAGGGGTCTCAGGGTTGAGCTGCGATGTTGGGCCCTTGTCCTCCTGCGCGAGCGACAATGCACGGCTTTGCTTGCGGAGCACTGGGCCCAGGTTCTGGCACTTCTCGCTCCTCCAGTCTGCGAAGTGCAGCAGCAAGCCTTATGTCTCTTAGATCAGAAGATGCCTGAGGAAGTGATCGCTGAGCTGTCCGGCAAGCATCGTGAAAAGGTTTTTGACTGTCTCCGCAGTCCAGACGGTTTGGTACAGCAGAGAGCCCTGGGGTTTTTTTGGAGAAGAAGATGCCGGACGAGCTGATCGCCGAGTTGTCCTCCGGGCGCTGTGCGACGCTACGAACACTCCTCCAGAGTCCAGGGTACGAGGTCCAACAGCAAGTTCTCAACCTTCTAGAGAAGCCGATGTCGCACAAACTGATTATCGAGCTATCCGGGCATCGTTGGGAGCCGGTTCTTGAACTGCTTGCCAGCCGAAGCTTCGAGGTGCGACAGTCAGCACTGGATCTTTTGAAGAAGAGGATGCCGAAAGAGCTGATCGCGGAGCAGTTCAGCAAATTTCATGTGGTTTTGCGCGATGCGGATTCAAGAATCAGTGCTTCAAGCCGTCGTATGTTGGAAGAGGAGATCTCGAACGAAGTCCTCGCCCAGCACTTCCAGACGATCGCACCATCGCTTCTGGCGGACTCCAAGCTGCAGCCGTGGTCTTTTGAGTTCCTGAGAGGGCGGATCTCCGAAAGGCACATTCCTGAACTCATCGATGTGATCATCAACATCCTTTCTCGCGTGGAAGCAGCTTGGAGCAGGAAGGGGACGGACCCCCTGTTGGGCTTCGCGGAGGAGCAGCTGCCCGGCGAATTGACCGCAGATCAAGTGAAGCGAATCGTGGCCCTCTCGGCAAAGAGTGGTCTCAGGGTTGAGCTGCGATGTTGGGCGCTTGTCCTCCTGAATGACCGAACCTGCACGGCTTCGCTTGCGGAGCACTGCGCCCAGGTTCTGGCACTTCTCGCCGCTCCAGTCTGCGAAGTGCAGCAGCAAGCCTTATATCTCTTAGATCAGAAGATGCCTGAGGAGGTAATCGCTGAGATGTCCGGCAAGCATCGTGAAAAGGTCGTTGACTGTCTCCGCAGTCCAGACGGTTTGGTACAGCAGAGAGCCCTGGGGCTTTTGGAGAAGAAGATGCCGGACGAGCTGATCGCCGAGTTGTCCTCCGGGCGCGGTGCGACGCTACGAACGCTCCTCCAGAGTCCAGGGTACGAGGTCCAACAGCAAGTTCTCAACCTTCTAGAGAAGCCGATGTCGCACAAACTGATTATCGAGCTATCCGGGCATCGTTGGGAGCCGGTTCTTGAACTGCTTGCCAGCCGAAGCTTCGAGGTGCGACAGTCAGCACTGGATCTTTTGAAGAAGAGGATGCCGAAAGAGCTGATCGCGGAGCAGTTCAGCAAATTTCATGTGGTTTTGCGCGATGCGGATTCAAGAATCAGTGCTTCAAGCCGTCGTATGTTGGAAGAGGAGATCTCGAACGAAGTCCTCGCCCAGCACTTCCAGACGATCGCACCATCGCTTCTGGCGGACTCCAAGCTGCAGCCGTGGTCTTTTGAGTTCCTGAGAGGGCGGATCTCCGAAAGGCACATTCCTGAACTCATCGATGTGATCATCAACATCCTTTCTCGCGTGGAAGCAGCTTGGAGCAGGAAGGGGACGGACCCCCTGTTGGGCTTCGCGGAGGAGCAGCTGCCCGGCGAATTGACTGCAGATCAAGCAGATCGGATTTTGGCCGTCTCGGCAAAGAGTGGTCTCAGGGTTGAGCTGCGATGTTGGGCGCTTGTCCTCCTGAATGACCGAACCTGCACGGCTTCGCTTGCGGAGCACTGCGCTCAGGTTCTGGCACTTCTCGCCGCTCCAGTCTGCGAAGTGCAGCAGCAAGCCTTATATCTCTTAGATCAGAAGATGCCTGAGGAGGTAATCGCTGAGATGTCCGGCAAGCATCGTGAAAAGGTCTTTGACTGTCTCCGCAGTCCAGACGGTTTGGTACAGCAGAGAGCCCTGGGGCTTTTGGAGAAGAAGATGCCGGACGAGCTGATCGCCGAGTTGTCCTCCGGGCGCTGTGCGACGCTACGAACACTCCTCCAGAGTCCAGGGTACGAGGTCCAACAGCAAGTTCTCAACCTTCTAGAGAAGCCGATGTCGCACAAACTGATTATCGAGCTATCCGGGCATCGTTGGGAGCCGGTTCTTGAACTGCTTGCCAGCCGAAGCTTCGAGGTGCGACAGTCAGCACTGGATCTTTTGAAGAAGAGGATGCCGAAAGAGCTGATCGCGGAGCAGTTCAGCAAATTTCATGTGGTTTTGCGCGATGCGGATTCAAGAATCAGTGCTTCAAGCCGTCGTATGTTGGAAGAGGAGATCTCGAACGAAGTCCTCGCCCAGCACTTCCAGACGATCGCACCATCGCTTCTGGCGGACTCGAAGCTGCAGCCGTGGTCTTTTGAGTTCCTGAGAGGGCGGATCTCCGAAAGGCACATTCCTGAACTCATCGATGTGATCATCAACATCCTTTCTCGCGTGGAAGCAGCTTGGAGCAGGAAGGGGACGGACCCCCTGTTGGGCTTCGCGGAGGAGCAGCTGCCCGGCGAATTGACCGCAGATCAAGTGAAGCGAATCGTGGCCCTCTCGGCAAAGAGTGGTCTCAGGGTTGAGCTGCGATGTTGGGCGCTTGTCCTCCTGAATGACCGAACCTGCACGGCTTCGCTTGCGGAGCACTGGACCCAGGTTCTGGCACTTCTCGCCATTCCAGTCCGTGAAGTGCAGCAGCTGGGTCTAAGCCTGCTACAGAAGAAGATGCCGCTTAAGCTAATCTCTGAGCTGTCCTGGGCAAGCTGGGAGCCTGTTCTGGGACTTCTGGCGACTCCGAAGTTTGAGGTCGTCCAACAGTCTGCTCTGCTTTTTTTGGAGAAGATACCGAAAGAGTTGATCGCACAGCAGTTCAACAAATTCCTTGTGGTTTTGCGGCATGCGGATTCAAGAATCAGGAGTTCAAGCCGTCGTATGTTGGAGGAGAAGATCTCGAACGAAGTCCTCGCCCAGCACTTCCAGACGATTGCTCCAGTGCTTCTGGCGGACTCGAAGCTGCAGCCGTGGTCGTTCGTTTTTGTTAAGGAGCGTCTCCCAACAGAGCATTCGCGGCAGGTCGCGGCTTTGCTGCAAAAGGCCGGCCACCTCAATGATTTTGAGGAGATGTCGCAAATTCTTCTGAAGCATAGACTACCGCTGAACGGCCTGGATGAGCTCTTGTGCAAGCTACCGTTCTCTTGCCTGCTTTTGGAAATGCCGAGAGGGACTGTAGCCGGTTGGCGAGATGCAAAGGGTAATTCCTGGCTGCACTTGGCAGCTGAAGCAGGGCACCTGGAGGCCTGCGAGGCTTTGGTGGACAAGATTGGACTCCCCTTGCGCCAGAAGAACAAAGCTGGCGACGAGCCGCTGGCCCTCGCGGCGAGTCGTGAAGTGGATCGGTTCTTGCGCAGCAGGATGCACTATCGTGAGACCCGCTTCGGCTACGGGAATGTGTTCCAAGAGATGATGCAAGATGACAGGCCGGTGTCTGAGGTCATTTGGTACACGGTGCCGCTCGCTGGCATGGCCGGCCGTTGTGGAGGCCTTCACTCCTTCCTGGTCGTCACTGTCTCCGATGCACGTCTGGGATCGAAGAGCTACGTTCTAGAGAAAGCCGGGTCCGAAGGACGGGAGTCCCATCAGAAGCACGGCGTCTTCATCGGGAACCAAGATCTAGGCAGCAACTTGAAGAGTGTGGATGGACAAAAGAAGAAAAAGCAGCTGGAGCTTCGCCAAGGATGCCTTCGGAGCGGGCTTAAGATGAAGGAGCTCTATGAGGTGGCCCATGGCACGGGTCCATATGATCTTGCAACTTCGAACTGCCATCATGCCGTCCAGAAAGTCTTCAACTTCTGCTGTGCCAGGGAAGAAGCAGCCCGCTCTGGCTCAGAAGGCTCGAATTCTGATGTAGCCTCAGCCAATTCGGAACTGGCCTCAAGCCACCAGTCTCTGGATTCCCCGAGTGGCTTCGGAGTCCCAGTTGACCTCCGCTCCACTGGCTTCGCGGAAACGGCTGCTGCCCTGAGCTTGGCTATTTACGAGCAGGATCCTGCGATCGTCTTGAGACCAACGGAGGCAGGAGTTGTGTCCATCCGCAACAACTTGGGCAGACCCGTGATTTTGTACGACCACAACGGCAGGACCCGCCATAGGGTGGAAGCTGGGGAAGTGTTGCGTATTGCAGGGTCTGGTGCCGAGAAGACCCTCGTCGATATTTATGATGCGGCATGGGCTCCGAGGCTCTATCCCCGAGGTCTGGCCCAGAGGCAAGCTGTATGGAGGGGCCACAGGTACAACATGTCCACAGGCTTCCGGGACGATGTCGTGCTGCAGGAGGTAGGGGCAGCTGTGCCCAAACATCCGGTAGACGTGCTTCATGCCACGCAGAAGAGTGGCACCGACAGTCCCGTGCAGTGGCTCCTGGCCAGATCGGGCTCCGTGCTCTACGTCGCCTTCCGAGGGACGGATGATGTGCAAGATGCTGCGATTGACCTCAGTGCCGTGCCAGACTACAGCCGATTCAAAGAGCACGGCATCGGGGTGCACAGTGGCATTGCAAATGCTCTCGAGCAGGAGGGAGATGGAATTGGTCATGTTGTGAACGATGTTCTGCAGGCTTTGCAGGAGCACCTGCAACAAGGAGAACAGCTGATCCTTTGCGGCCACTCGCTCGGGGGAGGCTATGCCCAGGTGATGGCTGTCCACTTGTTGAGTCGGAATGTGGAAGTCGCGGCTGTGCGGACCTTCGGCACGCCGCACGTGCTGGTGCCTCCCTCCAGGCAGGAAGATCGTACAACACTCTGGTGCACGCTGGATTCAATCTCGCGGCATTGGGTGCACGACTGGGACCCCGTCCCCAGGCTTCCTCTCTGCAAGGCCTGGCTGACCGATGTGCTGCCGAAGCTGAAGACAGAGATCATCACAGGGCTCAGAGTCGGAATTGCACGGAAGTACATCCAAGCACTCCACCAGCACTGCAATGACACCAGGGCCAAGCTACTGGAGCGCTACGATGTCGTGGGCGAGATCGTGCTGGTCAGCAAGGCGACGAGTGTGGCCCTCCGTGCGAGCGAGGGTTCGGCAGCTTTGAAAGAGTTGCTCGGCGAGAAACCTCCCGAGTCAGTTATGACTCCGAGCAAGCTCTTCGCTTACCATGGCATGGAGGTCTACCTGCACATCGCTCGCAAACTGGTGGCCTCATAAGCAAGGCCCTGCATGCTGTCTATCCGATTCTGTCCTGAGTTCTAGATTCCAAGTGGAGGTTGGGGTATCCTCCGCCTGACAGTTGCCTGATTGCTCAGAAAGAAAAGATGGGGAGCCCTGGAAAGCAGGAAGCACCCAATGCAGTGCCTGTTTCCGCGATCTGAGTTGCATGTCTGCAGTTTCGGAGGAGGGCTTGCTCTGGGTGGTTCCAAGCCAGGCTCAGTCTGGGCGATCTGATGCCAGCTGCTTCAGCGGGTCCGCCTCCTACAACGCGCTAACGCGCCTTGGAGCCTGGAGCAGGGGGAAACATCGCAATTGAAGGGAGGCAAAAACATTTGGGCATTATCGGATGCACCCGTCGGCATGGAATGACCTGTTGGACCCTGCCTGCTTCAGCATCGCTGGAGCGGTTTCATATAATGTAGTTTCCTGATTCAATCTGAACAATGGGAAAAGGGTGCAATGCCCTTCGTTACCTTATCATCAATAGGATACTGGGGAACCTGGGAACAGTTCTGCCGAGCCTTTGAGCCCAAGAATACAGGTGAAGCCTAGAAGACTGAAAGCGTGACGAGAGAAAGATCTTGTCGCCAGAACCGTTCCTTGATATTTTGAGTTGTATATCTTATGTTATATACTATGTTAGTATGTTACAATATTTCTACATCTACCCCTTCAGATATCATCTATAGTATCGACCTTTCAGCGCCATGGTCTACCTATGTTTTGGTTAAAGTCGCGCTCTCCACTGAAGCTGCCGGAGGCTGAATGCCGCGCTGAGCTCCACGCCATGGAATCCGGAAAGGCTGGAGGGCTCAGAGCCCCGTTCGTTTCCGTCGTGGCATTTTCTGCACCTTGCAAGACATGCAGCACCGGACAGTGCACGTGGAGACATGGCAAGCAGAAGCGTTTTGCTGGCGCAAAGCTTCATGTATAAGGTCTTCGAATTGCGACCCAAGTGTGTTGGTTCAGAAACCCGCCACTGCACAATCAAGCGAGCCGGCAAGCTATGGCGCTTGGGGAATCCGTCCCCCGCAAGTGTCTGTCTCCCAGATCTCTATCTCTCTCTCTCTCTCTCTCTTTTCGTCCTTCTCTAGCGTTTTCTCTGTCCCGGCCAGATCGTGCTGATTGCTGATTGCTGAGCGCGTCGGCGGCTGCAGGACGGAGTATCCTCCAAATGCGCTTAGTGCTTTCACAAGCTCTGCTGGCACGGATTTTCTCCAATTTTTCGGGGGGGGGCGTGCAGCTGCAGGTAATAAGCTGTATCACTGCTAAGTGCTAGCAGCGGCGGTGGTGCAGGCGGCCGATGTCTCGCAGTTCATTCATCGTCATAACACACGATAGCGCGGATGATAACTGCACCTTCCGCAAGGAGCTGAATTCGAGCTGCATTCGCAGAAGCTTTGCCTTCAGTTGGGACGAGGCCGCGCCAGTCATTCGAAGCTAGATCTCCCGGTCGCCAGTTTGTGAAGTCTCTCTTGTTCCTGCGGCTTTGTTCGGGATTTGTCTCATTATCCGGTGATACACAACGTGCAGGAGTGTGATTTTCATTTTTCCCCGACCAGGCCCATGTTGGTGATCTTCCTTCCTCCGGCTACATCCAGGGGCGATTCTTGGGCAAGGCCGGCAAGACAAGCGTAGGGGTTTGCAAGGCTCTGTTCGGCGAAAGGTTTCGGAAGAATCCAGTCTCCATTTCTAGGCCAGCAGCCTCGGCCAGATTGTTTCGTCATATGATCTCCTTCACGAGGAAATCTGCAGCGTTGCAGGTTGGATGCGGATTGCTCTGTGTGTGTGCGCTTGCCAGGCTCACTTTGGATGACATCTTCCGCCATCCGGTCCATGTCCAGCCAGGCACCATGCCTGGCCAGTTTGCAGAACTCAGTTCCCTTGTCGCCGAAGTATGCAAGAGCCCCGGCGGACTTCGAACAGCTCCTCCGCCAAAGATCATGGGATGCTGTCCCCAGGGATCTCCTCTCTTAGTGTTAAACTAAACTGGAGTCACAGATGCCCAAACCGCGCGAGCTTCGTGCCGTGCCTGAGGCCGTCCCTTCTGTGGCTCGCCGGGCGAGGCAGAAGAAGAGTGTCGCCTGAAAACCGAGTCTGCATCTCCAGCGTCGGTTTCTTGTCACTTGTCACACTTGTCTATTCCACGCGCAGCTTGGCATCTCGAGCTCTCAGTTTACCGAAACCGAGTGCACAAGAAGGCATGGAAGATCTCGCCGGCTGTGCTCGTCTGGTTGGCGGGTTCCGCGAACATGTTTGCGGTCTCTGCGACTGTGTTTGTCTGGTTTCTGCGAGTTTGTTTGTCTGCTGTTGCGGCCACAAGTTTTGGAGTTCGAGAGTTGTGGCTGACCGTCTCTTGGCCATCCTCGCCGACAGAGTTTGGGGTGTGAGATTGAACAGGCACATCTTGAAGTCCGTGAAGGACCACTTGCCCAGCTGCTTGAGTGCAGACCACATCGCTCTGATCGCGAAGCTCCTGGAGAATGTCAATGAAGAGGTGAGATTCCGGACTCTGGATCTCCTTTCTGAGTCTGAGCACAGGCTGTCAGAGTTCTCAATGGACCTTTGGTTGCTCGTTTTGAGACTTGTCACCAGTCGACGCAAGGAGGTTCAACTGTCAGCCGTGCGGCTCTTGGTGGCGAAAATGCCAAACGAGCTTTTGGTGAAGGACTTCGACAAGTTCCATAGCGTCTTGCGCCATGCAAATTCAACGATCAGAGCTGTCAGCCGTCGTTTGGTCGAGGAGAAAATCTCGAGGGAGGTCCTCGCTCTACACTTGGAGAAGATCGTGCCTGTGCTTCGGACGGACTCGGAGTTGCAGCCGTGGTCGTTCGGTTTTCACAAAGATCGTCTCCCAAGAGGGGATTATCAGCACATTGCGGCGCTGCAAGATGAACACTCAAGGAACTCTGGGGACACTAGGCGACCCGTCGAGCATAACTTGAACGAGCTTTTTCTGCAACGTTGCCTGCTCCTGCAATTGCCAAGAGATCGCGTTGCCAGCTGGCGAGATAGAGCGGGCAACACCTGGCTGCACGTGGCCGCCGAAGCAGGGAATTTGGAGGCCTGCGAGGCTTTGGTGGACTGGGTGGGCCTCCCCTTGCGCGAGAAGAACAAAGCTGGCGACGAGCCGCTGGCCCTCGCGGCGAGTCGCGACGTGGATCGGTTCTTGCGCAGCAGGATGCACTTCCGGGAGACCCGCTTCGGCTACGGGAATGCTTTCGAGGAGATGATGCAAGATGTCTGAGGTGACCTGGTACACGGTGCCTCTCCCTGGCATGGCCGGCCGCCGGCTGCTGGGAGGCCTTCACTCCTTATGGTTTCTGACAGGGCTCAGGGAGCGAAGAGCTACGTGCTGGAGAAGGTGGGGTCCCATGGAAGGGAGGCCCATCAGAAGCACGGCATCTTCATCGGGAACCAAGATCTTGGCAGCAACTTGAGGAGTGTGGATGGCCTTAACATGTACAAGCGGCTGGAGCTCAGTGGAGGAAGCCTTCGGAGACGCTTGAAGATGAAGGGGCTCTATGAAGAAGCTCACAGCACTGGCCCGTATGATCTTGCATCTTCCAATTGCCATCATGCTGTTCAGAAAGTCTTCAATCACTGCTGTGCCAGAGAAGAGGACAGGGGTGTGCACCCGCCAAACGAATTGTTGGCAAAGCTCGGGTCGATGTCCTGTTCAACTCGGCCCGTTCCGGCTCACAAGGCTCGAATTCCGATGTTGCTTCAGCGAATTCGGAAGTGGTCTCCCGCGGCCACAATATTAATTCACCGAGTGGCTTCGGAGTTCCCGTTGATCTTCGCTGCAGTGGCTTTGGAGGAACGGCCGCTTTGCTGAGCCATGCAGTGTACGAGGAGGATGCTGCGATTCTGTTGAGGCGACCAGAAGCAGGCACTGTGTCTATCCGCAACAAGTTGGCCAGACCCGTGCTGGTGTACGACCACAACAGCAGGACCCGTCACAGAGTGCAGGCTGGCGCGGCGTTGACCATTGCAGGCTGTGCCATGTTGTTGAATGGCTTCCGGCCCTATCCTTGGCGACTTCTGGCAAAGCGGCAAACTGTATGGAGAGGCCACAGGTACAACATGTCGGCAGGTTTCCGTGACGATGTAGTGTTGCAGGAGGTGGCAGCAGCTGTGGCAGTCGCAGAGCCGGTAGATGTGCTTCATGCCACCTCGAAGAGAGGCAGCGACAGTCCGGTGCAGTGGATCCTGGCCAGATCGGGCTCAGTGCTCTACGTCGCCTTCCGAGGGACGGATGATGTGCAAGATGCTGCGATTGACCTCTGCGCTGTGCCAGACTGCACAAGACTCGGAGAGCACGGAATCGGGGTGCACAGTGGGATCGCCCACGCCTTGGAGCAGAGGGGCGACAATACGTTTCATGTTTTGAATGATGTTCATGAGGCCTTGCAAGTGCACCGTCAACACGGAGAGCGGCTGATCCTCTGCGGCCACTCATTGGGTGGCGGCTACGCCCAAGTGATGGCGGTTCATTTGTTGAGTCGGAAAGTGGATGTCGCGGCTGTGCAGACCTTCGGCGCGCCACATGTGCTGGTGCCTCCTTCGTCCAAGCAGGAAGATCATCCAACACTCCTCTGGTGGACGTTGAACTCGATCACACAGCATTGGGTGCACGACTGGGACCCTGTTCCCAGGCTCCCTCTCTGCAAGGCCTGGCTGACCGGTGTCTTGCCGAAGCTGAAGCAGGAGGTCGTCAGAGGGCTCAGAGTCGGAATCGCGCGGAAGTACATCCAAGCACTCCACCAGCACTGCAATGACACCAGGGCCAAGCTACTGGAGCACTACGATGTCGTGGGCGAGATCGTGCTGGTCAGCAAGGCGACGAGTGTGGCTTTCCGTGCGAGCAAGGGTTCGGCAGCTTTGAAAGAGTTGCTTTGCGAGAAACCTCCCGAGTCAGTTATGACTCCGAGCAAGCTCTTTGCGTACCACAGCATGGAGGACTACCTGCACATCGCTCACAAACTGACGGCCTCATGAGCAAGGCCATGCATGTTGTCCATCCGATTCTATCCTCTGTTCTAGATTGCAAGCGGAGGTTGGGGCATCCTCCGATTGATACCGTATTTGCCTGATTGTGCAGAAAGGGGGCCTGGAAAAAGAAGGCAGGACGGAGGTGGCTTTCACGATCTGATTTGCATGTCTGCAGTTTTGGAGGAGGGGTTGCTCACGGACAGTTTCAAGCCAGGCCCAGTTTGGGCGATCTGATGACAGCTGACAGCTGCTTCAGCGGGTCGGTCTTCGACAAGGCGCTACCGCTCCGGAGCAGCGGCCATGCTTGTTCGCGGTCTTTGCTATGTGCTGGTGCTGGGTCGCCGGATTGCGGCCTTTGTCGCGGTTCAATTCGGTCAGGCATCCCTGCAGCCCCGGATCGCAAAGCAAGACAAGATCCAATGTAGAGAAAACACATAAATCAAGCATCTGGCCTCCCGATTGGAAGTTCCGAACCTCTGAGGGAGCTCGTCGTTTTTCTAGCGCCTGCCTGAAGGCTTTTATACAGCGCACAGAATTTGACCAAAGAGGCAATAACGGCACGCTAAACTGGCCAGGCCTAGCTCCCGAGAGGAGCTTCCAAGCAGCGGAACGCCCCGCCGAGCTCCACATCGCGGAGTTTTAAAGGCTGGAGGGCTCAATTCTCGTTGAAATGGGTATATGATGAGCTTTTGGGTAGGAAGATACTGGGGAACCTAAAGTGGGCAAAGATTTTGAGCTTTCCTGCACGGAAAGAATCGTTAGAAGCACCCCAGAATAGTTGAGTTCTGGAAAGACTGGAAGCGATTCCTTTTGACGACAGAAATATCTCTTTTCATCAGACTGTGACTAAAAGGCTGGAGGGAAGAGCAAGTATCCTCAGCGTCCATTGGCGGAACGGAGGACCTGCTGACAGGGAGCAGAATCCGTGCCAGCTGCCCGCGTTCCTCGTGCTTGCGGAACCCAGGCCGGGCCTGCACCAGAAACGCTCAGTGCAGACATAGCAAGCCGCCTTCTGCTGGCGCAAAGCTTCACGTAAGGTTTTCAGCACACTTGGACAAACTTATCAGAATTTCGGCACGATAGTCGCTAGTGAAGGGCCAAGAGCCGCCAAACTATTTGGCTTGGGGGAGCCGCCCCTTTCTTTCTCACTCTCACTCTGTCTCTGGTTTGTCTTTCTCTCTCTCTCTCTCTCCCTCCCGCTCTCTTTCTTTTTCTCGTATTTTTGAGCAGGTCGTTGGCTGCAGGAATGAGCCATCCCCCAAACGGGATGCTGCTTTGAATGTGGTTTCATAAGCTCGCTGGCACCAATATTTGTTCAGAGCTTGTTGCTGGCTCACGGTGTTTCACGGTTAAGCAGTGCAGCGGCCAGTGATGCTGACAGTCCTTGTCTCGCCGCTCCTGGATGGTCATAGAACTGGCACCTTGCATGATGATTGTACTTTCTGCAAACCGCTCATAAACTCCATTCGCAGGAGCGGGACAAGGTCGGGTGACTCATTCATGACATCTGTGTCTGTCGAAGTCTGATATACCGGTGGCATGTTTGGAAAGTCTGTATTTTCCTGGGTTTGTTCGAGATTGTGTTTGTTTTTGTTTTGTCGCTTGTTGAATCTAGGATGTGCTTCGGTTCCTTGGGCCATGGCCTTACAGACTACAGACTATACAGAACTCCCAGCCCCGAGTTTTCGAGACTCCTCGAGCGAAGCCTGTCAATGCGAGTGAAGGTGCTGTGCGGCGGGCCTCCTCACGAGTTCTGACTTCCAACAGGGAGCGAGGCCCGACGTTCAAGAATTTCCCGGTTTGTCAATTGCTCATCGACCAGGTGTTGCAAGGCTTGCGATTTTGTCCTTGTTCTGGTCTGCTAAATGTTGGCAGTTCGCACAGCTCGAGATGTTCTGGTTGGCACTGGATGTTGGTGCAGGGGTTTGCCTGTCTGCGAAAGGTTTCGGAAGGTTCCAGGCTCCATTTCTAGGCCAGCGGCCTGTGCCAGGTTGTATGTCATGCTCTCTTTCAGGAGACGGTCATGCTGGGGTCTAATTCGACGCACCTGCTTAAGATCCTGCAGCACATTGCCTCCCATAGTCTTGCCATGCGAAGAAGGCATCAAACTTGTCCTTACTCAGATGCATGCGTTGCGAGGATACCCAAGAACGTGGAGGATCTTTCAGGCCACGCGAAGCATGCTACTCGAGACCCAATATTGTCTCCCCGCACATCGTAAGCCAACTAGTTGCTGGGACTTCCACCGGCAGCTCCGAAGGAATCCGAAGGAAATGTGTTCCGACGCTTCGGTCTTTTGGTTCTCGAGGCCAGGGATCATGGCAGAGCTGAGACCACCAGATCCGACCCGTCGCTTGCCTAGTGCGCAGCATGCGGTTTTCCCTATGGGCCGCGTGCACTCCTCGCCCGGGCCTGGCCACATCCGAGCTGCAGCAGTATGGTTGGGCAGTTGTGCCCCACTTCTTCTGAGAAGAAGCCGATGCAAGTACGTTGGCCATGAAACGGCTTCTCATGGTTCTCGAGCAGGATGTTGCAGGCGGTGCAGGCAGAAGTCGGAGCACTACGGCAAGGCTGCTGACTGGGATTCTTATATGGAACTTTGGCATGGCGAAGAGTATCGTCGCCAGCATTCGGAACAGATTCTTCGGGAGCTAATTTGGCCCGTTGATTCTGACTGTGGCCGGCGTACCGCGGCAGCCGACGCAGGCGGCCTTGAACTTGCAAAGGCTACTTTAGGAGCCATCCTTGCAGGACCTGTGGCAGCCAGGGTCTTTCACCAATGGGCTCTACTCCAGCGTTATCGAACACTGATCGAGCTGCTGAAAGACCCAGACTTCCTAGTACCAGCCCGGGAAGCCTTCGAGCGGAATGTCACGACCGAACTCCTCGATGAGTATTTCGAGGAAATAGTCCCACCGCTCTTGGCCGACCGGGAGCTGCAGCTGTGGTCCTTTCAGGTGCTGGACGGGAAGATCTCGACAAGGAGGGTTTCCAACCTCGTCAGTCAAATTCTGGATCTGTTGTCCGGCAAAGACCTGCCGACTGAGCTCGGGGCTTCAAGTTGGGAGTTTCTGAAGAAGCAGCTGCCGGACAGTTTAAGTGCAGAGCTTGTCCAGAAACTCGTGACTCTCCTGTCGCATTCCGACACGAGCGTAAAGAAGGGGGCGCTGCATTTGCTGCAGGAGCGAACACCACGTGAAGTGTTGCATGTCCTTTGCGACAAGATCTTGCCACTGTTGAGCGATGAAGTCTCCTCTGTGCAGATGGCAGCCAGCAGCAGCCTGCCGAAACACTTAGAGCAGATTGCAGTGCTGCTCCTCGATGTCATGCACAAGTCCCCAGATGCGGATATCAGCAATATAAGCTGTGCCAAGAACCTGATGGGAGAGTTGCCACTGCTATCCAAGCAGAGGCAATTGAAGCATCTGGCGTTGAAGCTGCTTTGCAAACTGCCGGTCGCTTGTCTAACCCGATACAGGCATCTAATTGCAAGCAGCCGAAGCAGCAACGGCAACACCTGGCTCCACGTTGCGGCGGCGGAAGGACACCTGGAAGTGTGCCAGGTCCTGGTAGATACCGTGGGCATTGACCTGCACGCGCAGAACGATGCTGGCGAACAGCCGCTGGCCCTCGCTGCGAGTCGTGAAGTGGATCGGTTCTTGCGCAGCAGGATGCACTTCCGGGAGACCCGCTTCGGCTATGGGAATGCTTTCGAGGAGATGATGCAGGATGAGAGGCAGGTGTCTGAGGTGACCTGGTACACGGTGCCTCTCCCTGGCATGGCCGGCCGCCGGCTGCTGGGAGGCCTTCACTCCTTCCTCGTCGTCACCGTCTCCGACACGGAGCAGGGACTTCGCTACGTGCTGGAGAAGGTGGGCTCCCATGGAAGGGAGGCCCATCAGAAGCACGGCATCTTCATCGGGTACCAAGATCTTGGCAGCAACTTGAGGAGTGTGGCTGGCCTTAACATGTACAAGCGGCTGGAGCTCAGTGGAGGAAGCCTTCGGAGACGCTTGAAGATGAAGGGGCTCTATGAAGAAGCTCACAGCACTGGCCCGTATGATCTTGCATCTTCCAATTGCCATCATGCTGTTCAGAAAGTCTTCTGGCACTGCTGTGCCAGAGAAGAGGACAAGGAGTTGCAGCCGCCAAACGAGTGGTTGGCAACGTTTGGGTCGATACTTCAGCTGGGTGGCCTGTTCAACTCGACCAGTTCCGGCTCAGAAGGCTCGAATTCCGATGTTGCTTCAGCAAATTCGGAAGTGGTCTCCCGCAGCCAGACTGTGGATTCCCCGAGTGGCTTCGATGATTATGACAAATTCAATCATTTGCGCTTCATGAATGAAATCGATGATTATGACAATCATTTGGGCTTGATGAATGAAATCGATGATTATGACAATCATTTGCGCTTGATGATGAATGGGATGGTCAGACAGCTGTGCGAAGCGTCTGTCGTGGAGCAGTGGTCTTTTCGGGTTCTGGATGGGAAGATCATGCCGAAACGGGGTAACGGACTCATCACTCTGATCCGGGATCTCTTGAGCGGACAAGATGCGCCGACGATGAGCCGGGCTTCGGCTTTGGAGTTCTTGAAGAGGCAGCTGCCCGACAATTTGAGCACAGAGCAAGTCCAGGTGATCGTGACACCTTCCCTGCTTTATTCTGACATGGACGCAGCGGAGTGGACAGCAATAGAAGTAATCGTTGCGCTGTTAGGCACGGGTGGACAAACATATAAACAGGATGCACGGTCAGAGGCCCGCCAGCGAACCCTGCATCTGTTGAAGGAGAAAATGCCGAGCCAAATGATCGCTGTGCAGACGGAGAAGTTCTTGCCTTGGCTGAAGAGCGCGGATCGACGGACAAGCGCTTCCGCGCGGCATTTGTTCGAACAGAGGATTTCGGAAGAAGTGCTGACCGAACACTTTGACACCATCGTTCCGCCGCTTCTCACTGACAAGCATCTGCATTTTTGGTCCATTCGCTTCGTGACGGACCGGATCTCGAGGGCACGCCTCACGGACCTTATCGATTTAATAATCTTCCAGCTCCCGTATCAGCTGAGTGCACCACATCTTTGGGAGATTGCTAAGTTTTTGGACTGTTTATCTGAGCTCCCTTATCAGACTTGCATTTCGCATCTGCTGCGCTGTCGGATTGACGCAGTGCTCGCGGTGATGCTGTCTGAGCATTGGGAGACGATCTGGTCCCCCTCCACACGGACTGCAGCATCCAAACTCGCTTTGAAAGAAGCTTCTGGTCTCTCAAGAAAGCAGCTTGTGGAGCATTCGCGACAGCTGGCAGCTCTGCTTCGCAAAGCAGGTCACCTGGATGATTTTGAGAACATCTTCCCGGATCTCCTGAAAAAGAGCTGCCCGCAGCATGACTGGGCGGAGCTCTTGTCTAAGCTGCCTGTCTCTTGTCTCCTCGCAGTGGTGGAACCCGAGGGCATCATCACTTGGCGAGACAAGTCCGGCAACACTTGGCTGCACCTCGCGGCCGAAGCAGGGAATTGCGAGGCCTGCGAGGCCTTGGTGGACCAGGTTGGCCATCCCCTGCGCGAGAAGAACAAAGCTGGCGACGAGCCGCTGGCGCTTGCCGCGAATCGCGAGGTGGATCGGATCCTGAGGAGCAGGATGCACTTCCGGGAGACCCGATTCGGCCACGGGAATGCCTTCGAGAAGATGATGCAGGATGAGCGGCAGGTGTCTGAGGTGACCTGGTACACGGTGCCTCTCCCTGGCATGGCTGGCCGATGTAGAGGCCTTCACTCCTTCCTCGTGGTCACCGTCTCCGACACATATCAGGGAGAGCAAACGTACGTGCTGGAGAAGGCGGCCGGCTCCTTTGCCAGGGAGGCCCATCAGAAGCATGGCATCTTCATCGGGAACCGAGATCTGGGCAGCAACTTGAGGAGCGTGGATGGACTAAAGATGCGGAAGCAAGTTAAGCTCAGCAACAGAAGCCTGCAGACGGGGCTCGAAATGAAGAACTTCTATGAGGTGGCCCACAGCACGGGCCCGTATGATCTTGCATCTTCCAACTGCCATCATGCCGTTCAGGAAGCTTTCAACCATTGCTGCGCCAGAGAGGAAGACAAGGAGCTGCAGCCTCCAAACGAGTGGTTGGCAAAGCTGGGTGGCGCACTTCAGCTGGGTGGTTTGTTCAACTCAGCCAGCTCTGGCTCAGGAGGCTCGGATTCTGACGTTTCTTCAGCGAATTCGGAAGTGGCGTCTGGCAGCCAGATCGTGGATTCCCCGAGTGGCTTTTCTTGGTCCGGTAGCCCTGCCTCCGACGCCTTCGCAGAAAAAGCTGCTGCCCTGTGCCTGGGTGTGTACGAGCAGGATCCTGCAATCGCCTTAAGGCCAACGGAGGCAGGTACCGTGTCTATCCGCAACACTCTGGCCAGACCCGTGCTGGTGTATGACCACAACAGCAGGACCCGTCACAGAGTGCAGGCTGACGCGGTGTTGAAAATTGCAGGATGTGCCGCTGAGAAAATTCTGGTGGATATCTACGCCGATTCGTGGACTGGGAGGTGCTTGCCCGGGCGCCGACTGGCAAGGAGGCAAGCTGTGTGGAGGGGCCACAGGTACAACATGTCAACAGACTTCCGGGACGATGTCGTGCTGCAAGAGGCGGAGGCATTCGTTCCAAAACAGTCAGTAGAGGTGCTTCATGCCACCTCGAAGAGCGGCAGCAGTCCCGTGCAGTGGCTCCTGGCCAGATCGGGCTCCGTGCTTTACGTCGCTTTCCAAGGCACAAGTGATTTGGAGGATGTGGTCATTGACCTCTGTGCCGTGCCTGACTTTCACAGATTCAAAGACCACGGCATCGGCGTGCACAGTGGGATTGGCCATGCCCTCGAGCAGGAGGGAGATGGAATTTGTCATGTGGTTACCGACGTTCTGCAGGCTTTGGAGCAGCACCGTCAACCTGGAGAGCGGCTGGTCCTTTGCGGCCATTCGCTAGGTGGAGCCTACGCCCAAGTCATGGCAGTCCACTTGCTGAGCCGGAATGTGGAAGTAACTGCACTCCGAACCTTCGGTGCTCCGCACGTCCTCGTGCCTCCGAACCCGCAAGACTTTTCAGCATTGTGGCAGGGGTTGGATGTGATCACGAGCCACTTCGTGCACGACTGGGACCCTGTTCCCAGGATCCCTCTCTGCAAGGTGTGGCTGACTGATGTTCTGCCGCAGCTGAAGCAGGAGGTTGTGCGAGGGGTCAGGATTGGTATTGCCCAGAAGTACATCGAAGCATTGCAGCGGAACTGCAACGAGACCAGGGCGAAGTTCTTGAAGAGGTACGATGTGGTGGGCGAGGTCGTGCTTGTGAGCGAAGCCTCCGGTTTGGTTCTCGTTGCCGCTGCACCACGGGAAATCCCCCTTGGCGAAGAAGCTGCGCCATTGAAAGAACTGCTCGGGGAGAAGCCTCCTGGTGCAATCATGACTCCAAGCAAGCTCCTTGCTTACCACGATATGTCGGTCTATCTGCAGCTCACGCGAACTATGTCGGCCTCATAAGAAAGGCCTGCACTCTGATGCAATCTCGATAACGAACGGAGGTTCCGTCCAAGAATTGGCTTGCCCAGAGGAAAAAGCAGCGATGGAGGCAGCGGCACTTGCGGCTTCAGCTGGGTCTGAACAGATGCATGTTCGTTGCTCGGAAAGGGCTTGTGTTGGGTGTTTGCTTGCCAGGCTCGCTTTGGGCGATCTTGCTTTGGCTTCTGCAGCCGGTCTTCGGCGAGGCACCAACCCCGACATGTACTCGTATTTCTGTGTCTTGCAACCCTCCCTTTCCGTACGGGATTCCTCACGCCCGGTAACGGAGCGGTTATCGACCGGATACATGGTTCACCGATCTCTCCTCGTGATGTGTGTACGGCAGATTTCTTAAATCAGTTACTCGGCACAACTATGTCAGTATGCTTCTCCATTTCGACTGCCCGCGCTCAAGACCACGCGAAGCTTTTGCATTCAATTGCTCCAACTCGTAATATCCATCCCCTTTGGAAGGCTGGCTGTTTGAGACCTCTGCACGACTTGCGAGCGTCTTGAAGCCAAATCAAACGAGTGCTGTCTCCATCAAAAAACAGCTGGCAAGACCGGTGCTCCACGCACAGTGGTGCCTGTAGTGAAGACTTCGAAGAAGTACATGAGCAAGAGGCAGCAGCGGGCAGCATCTGTCTGTGTGCATGTGTGCGCCCAAGTCCTCCAAGCATCCGTGATGTTGCGCGGCTTGTGCTCACCTCACAGCCCGCATGCACAGGCCAGCTCAGTTCCGCCAGCTACTTAAAGCCAGCCCCTTCCTAAGAGCTTTCAAGGACACTGCAGCCAGACTGACTCGTCCCATCATAGCCCTCACTCTCAGCCTGCAGAGGCATACACTGGCAGCTGCATTTTGAGAATGTAAATGTAACAGCCGCTCCATGGCCCTGCAATGGATGACTGGCCGGATAGCCCTCGGAGAGGCCGGGAGGGTCCTGGCATGAGCCACGTCCGACACCGGAATTTGTGGGTTTGATGGTGGCAGCGTATCCGGCCAGAATCGCATGGAGCCGTTGTCCTTTGCTGCGCACAGATTCCTCGGGCTTCTCGGTGTCTTGGTTGTCGCTCGGGGTCGCCCCGGCTCATTGATCACCTGGACCGCTGCAGGGCCATGAATGCTGGCGTTATGCATGACAGCACGAGAGCTGCAAAGTTCAGCGTTGCTTAGCGCAGCACCAAGTTCATAGGCCCGGTGCCGGCACCACTAGTAGTAGGTCTCATCTAGGTTCAGGTTCAAGCGGAGACTGTGAAATCGGGACACAATGAAGGGCCTCCGGGAACCTCGAGCCTCAACTGCAGACATCGCATGTATCCCATAAGGTTTCGAAGTGTTTTGGATGTGTTGTCAGTTTCAGTTGCAAGTCAACGTTCTCGAACCCATGCTATGGCGCAGCGTTGAGCTTGCCTCCCACACTCACTCTCTCTCTCGCTCTCTCTCTCTCTCTCTCTCTCTCTGGCTCTCTTGCCAGGTCGTATTGGTGACATTCCTGCTGCTTCCGGAGCAGGTCCTCGGTTTCAGTGAGGAGCTCCCATTCGGGGAGAGGCCCAGGTAGACTTGCAATTCACCCCCGGGCCCCCGTGGCTTTGCAGGAGCCTGGGGTTAGGACAAGCCTCGGGCTTAGAGTCTCAACTCTTCAGTGAAGTCGGTGGTGGCGGTGACAACCCTACTGGTTTTAAACACCCCTGTCATGACTTTGCCTGCATGCTGACGTGATCCCACAGGAGCTCTGGAAGCTTCAGCAGAAGCTGCGGCGGGAGCTGGGTCAGGCATTGTGGGCTTGGTGTTGACAGACTTTCATATTCCGTTGGCAGCAGGTTTTGCGAGAGCACTCCGACTGAGCATGTCTAGATCCATTTTGTCGGCGATCCCTGCAGCAGGTCGTCCGCTCTTTTTCCGGCAACCCCATCATCAGGCGCCTCTTTTTTGTTGTTGCCAGGCTGTAGCCTTCGCACCCGTGTCGATCAGTGGTCCGCACCGTTTTGCTTTCTGCTCCGTTAGATCTGGTTCAGTATGCATGGCCAGCTCGACCCGCTCCCTCTCTGATCGACTCATCCTCTCTGAATGCCAGGGCGATCTTGGATGCGGCATATTGGATCCTGAGGCCGCTGGGCGTTCAACGATTTCAGGTTCAGGGCCCCACGGCAAGCAAAGAACAGAGGCCTAAGACTGCGCAGTCGGGGATCCGTGCTCCGGCCGGTCTTGCGTTTTCGACGGAATCTAGTTGCTCACATGTTTGAGTTTTGAGCTGCTGCAACATTCGTAGTGCGAAGACGTGCGATGCTCGTCGCTATCCAATGGCGTACCAGGTTGTGGGAGGGTGTCTTAAACTGAGGCCATTTATGCAAAATCCCTGAGATCCAAAAGTCTTAACTGCCTTGAACTCCTAAACTTGACCTGAAGCCTAAACCCCAGACCCGAAAGCCCGAAACCCCCTCGATCCCAAAGCCCCTAACTCCCGAAGCACCCATCAAAATCGAGCACCTTACCATAATTATAGTATTATAATACACCCCAAAACTCTATTCTAAACATTATTATTGCCCCTATACTACATATTAAAACCGAGCACGAAAAGCCAGCGCTTGAGACTTCTTTCCTTGCCAGGAAAGCCTCCCGGGGCCGCTTCGCCTCGCCAGGGCCTCGGCTGCAGCCGCACAGAAAACAGCTGTAGTCAGGAACAAGAGTAATAGGAATAAGGAATAATAGTAAGAATCGTTATGATAGTCATAATGGCTATAGTATAATGGTGAAAGTAATGGTAGTATTCAGAGTAGGGGGACTCAGGAGCCCTCATCTGTTGAGAGCTCGAAGCCTCAGGCCTTGTTCGCCTCCGCACTCCCTCCGCGGCCGTCTCGGCGGACCGCAAGAGGCATCCCATGGGAAGTGACATGACATGTAGTTCTCGGGATTTGCTTTAGTTGGCTGAGCTTCACGTCTTGAATAAACCATTGATGGGGCATGGTGGGACCTTGAAATCAATGCAATTTCGAAGGAACAGGACACAACGCCGGACCGGAAAATCCTAAACAACCTGGTAGGGTGCAGTTGTCGCAGGTGCTGGTCTTATGGACGGCGCATCAGCAGCCCAATCCTCTTCACGAGGAGACGAGCCACTTTCGCGTGGCCTCAAGCTCATGCATGTTGGTAGATCGCGGCATGCTGCATATAATGAGATTGTATCACGCTGTTCGAAAAGGCTCTCTGGTGTGAATGCCCCAGTATTTGTGTCTCAGCCCCTGAATCCATGCTAGGAACAGATCCTGAAGACAAGCTCTCTCAAAGATACAAGCCGCAAGCCTCCTCATCCGCCATGCCTAAGACCGGCGGAGCATGAATGGTACCGCCACAGGAGACCTACATCCTTGCTTGGAGAGTGGGTGATGGGAAAGGATCTACATGGCAGGAGCTCCCGGTTCATGCTTGCAGGCTTCCCTGCCAGAGTGTCATGTGCTGGGGCAGTTACTCTCCCACGCTGCGTTAGAGCGAATATCATTACTGGGAAAGGTAGATATTCTCAGATGCATGGTCTGCTGTGACTCGTGGGCAGGAGGAAGCCATCAACGAGAATCTGCCTGACTCCCGGTTCCAAGCAATGAGTATGGGGAATCGGTTCTCAGCATCATCATATCATGACCCCACTGGTCCTATTTCGAGTGTTGTTTACAGTGTTAAAACAGCATAGAAGCCAGGCTGATTGGCCCGGCTTTACCAAATCCTTTGTATGCTAAAGAGTTCTCCGACAGCCCTCCCAAGTTCCAGCGCTGCGTACCCGAACACAAGCTGGCCTTTGATGCCTGCTCAATCCCCAAGCGCTTTTGATGCTCTTCCTTCCCGGAATCTAAGCTCCTCCCTGACCTGAGGTGTAGAGAGATTGGAGGGGCGCCCGACAGGCCTGGGTCTAAGCGCCTGGGGCTCGCTTTTAAGGCCATGGAGCCCAAGAATAGGCCTACTGTCCTTTGAGGGAGGGAATGCCATGGCAAACTCAGCTAGGGCATCAGACAGTCAACTTCCCCTACTGCCCTTAAACTGCCCTTAGTTTCTTTGAGTCTGCCGTGTTGGATGCGTGAACACCGCCAAGCTTGAAATTTCAGCAGATCGGGCTACTGGTGCAGGTGGGGAGCCATCCTCGATCTACCAGCCGAGGCAGTTACGAGGCCTGCGGCCTTGTAATGCATAAGTACAACAGTCATCTTTGTAGTATAATGTACCCCAAACCCTAGTCTTGTCAGCTCAGAGCTGATTCGGAATTCAAGAGGATTCCTGTGCCCCAGATAACGAACGGAGTAGCTGTGGTGGACGAGAAACCCCACAAAAAGCTGTGGGGACTTGGTACAAGTAAGTAGGAACAGAATCTTGAACACAAAATACAACCCTTGCCTTGCCATACCCGCTCTTCCCAAACCACCGAGTGCATGAGGATCCGGGTCTGCGCCGTGAACTGCCTCGGCCGCGGCGATTGGAGCCACGAGGAGCTCGAGGCGGGGTTTCCCGAGGCTTGGGATTTTGAGATTGGGGTTAGGGTTAGGGTTTCTCACAGTCTAGCGGTTTTGTCTACGGGGGGTCTTTATAGGAGCCTACTCATGGACCAATGTCTGTAGTGGGGTCCTTTAATGTCGAAGACCGCGAATATTGAAAGTCCTTCATCGCAGGGATTAAAGATGAAAGGGGCCAACAGTGCTTGAAACTGCTTGGCAACAGCTTTCAACTAACAATCTTGAGAGTTGTAACTGAGGTGATTCGGCATAAACCAGAACGATGGCTTTCGCAATCCCCGGCATCTTGCAGGTCACCACGACCAGGGCGAAACAACCCGGGTCGAAAATTCGCGGCTCGGTGCATCTAAAGGTTTGGCATTGGGAGTAGCGTGAACATTGCATGCGAGGCCTCTACATTCCTACTGATAGCATTGACACAGGCCTGTAGCAGATGGCAACCTCTTGAGCAGCTTTGTGACGGTGTCGGGAAGAGGATCGAC